GTGACGTCATGTGAAAACGCTTTATAAACTTGCGTCGCGTCAATATCTGTCATTGTTTAAAATTCAGCTAGTCATAAACTACAATTGAGCAAATAAATCTGCAAGTTAATCCAGAAACTTGAATTTAAAATTCTCCAGCGGCAAACAGACACTCCAAGGAAAGAACCAACAAGGTATAAAAGCTACAATCTCTAGCAATCGCTCTCCTTTTGTTCATCACTCGTTTCATCCAGAGGGGACGGCTGGAGCTAAAAGGCTGTTTTCCATTCACCCTTAAACCACAATTAAATCCACCACAGAGATCTCCCAACATTTCCTATCAAATATCTAAGTTTTTAATCCTTTGGTGATCATTATATTAATTTTCATAACCTTTGCTGGAAGTTCAGATTTGTTTCTTATATTCGACCACATGATCCCCGACATGATGAGCTTGAACTTTAATAATAGTCCTTTATGAATACAGTAAGCAAAATGACCCGTTTCGCTAAAGTAAATATGCCCCGCCTTCCCCCCCTCCCCACTCCCTTACTCCCTTGCTATTACCCTGCTCCCACAAACGTATTTGACATTCATTCCACTCACTTCCAAATATCCCAGAAGTGTTTGATGATGGTACTGCAGTTGGGAAAGGCGAGCTAGCACTACTGGTTATAACACTTGTGCCATTGCAATGACTAAAGAAATTTCTGAATTGATCCGATAAAGTGGTCCTGGCAACGTCATCGTCACATTCCAAGACGTTATGTACGAGGTAAGGAAATACATGTTCAGCAAACTCCACCTGAAGAAAATAATAATAAAACAATAATGAAAGCTAACAACAGTATTCAAAAATGGTCATAAATAAAGGAAAGGGTTGACAGGGAATCTTGGTGATAAATACACCGGCCATTAATCAATAGGTCATTTGCACGATGGCGTCATTTTACTACTACGACCAGAATCCTTTTTGTTTTCCCTTACGTATTTAAATTTTGTAATCCCAGTGACGTTCAAATAACAAAAGCCTTAATTTACATAAGAAAGCAAACCCTGAAGGATTCTAGTCGTAGTAGTAAAATGATGTCATAGTGCAAATGGCCTATTAATTATTGGATGAGGCTGAGTATGATATGAGGAATCATACAAATCGGCGAGGGTTCAGCTCAGGCGGATATCACCCTCCCATATCTTCTTCATGATTCTTCACATCATCCGAAAGCAAAATTCAATGACTGTATTATTATTCACTCAAAATATTTCTAAGCTCTTAACATCCGTTCATATGCGTCGAATTTCTTCAAGACCTTTGCCAGATGCTCGGTAGTGTTAGGATGCGAATGGACGTTTTTTCTTGCAGATTTTTGTCGAAATGCAATTGACATCCATCGAGAGGTATTTTATGCATTCTTGGTAATTTAAACTCCCACAGCGTGTGAAATCTTCAGGCACTTTCTCTAGCTTTGCAGGGTTTTAGAAAGACTTGCAAAAGCGTCGGAAGCAGCAGCAAAAAGTTTCAAAACACAGTTCGTGTCAAAATAGCGAGAAAAGGAAATCGAAATACAGCTTTTCAGCAAAAATGATAAATCAAAAGTTATGTGAAGTTATAAATTATAAACTTCATTGAACGGTCACTGAGGGGATAAGAACCTGTGAAGTCATTAAAGCATGGACATTGTGCGCTATACACCAATGACACACTCTTATTAGCCAATCAACTCGCAGATATACTTACAGAGTACGAAGTTTGAATATTAATTCAATTCAATTCAATTCAATTCAATTCAATTCAATAGGCCATTTCCGAGTTCCCCTGGGCCTCTGTTTCAAAACGAGGGTAGGTGCTCAGCCTTTGATATGGAAATCATTTTTCATTCCCATGCAAATAAAACTCATTTTCACAAGTTGTGCACCTAGACTCATAAGTGGGGGTTTTTGGAACTCGGAATCTAACGTTTCCTACACAAGCTAGGAAATACTCTTAATGCCGTAAATTTCACAATAAGAAAATCGAAATACCTTTGTTTTGCAAATAGGAGACAAAACAAACAGCACTTCGTCTTTGACAAGTCCACTTTCGATCAAAGTACAGGCCAGTTTGGTTATCCACTGTTCGTGACTGTATTCTTGGCCATCAAGGCCTGGTATCCATAAATTTGCGTCATCTAGCTTAACATCAGATATTACTTCCATAGCAGACGCGCCACCGGGTGTCTGAACAGGAACAGGAAAAAAGTATTTATCATGGTTTTCAGTGTATATGTTGTAGTTAATTTTTTATTCCAGGTAATTTCTGTTTATCTTTTGATTTTGGGTATGATAATGTATGCTAATAAAGTTGAAACAAAGGAAAATAAAAATTACCTACGATAAAAAATTAACTACAGCATCTATACATATTGCGGTGGTTTCATTTATATTCACTCGCGTCATTCAAACGTCCTTACGCCCTCAAAGTTAAATACCCAACAACGAGAACGAGATTTTCTCAATACTAAGTAGTGCGCGGGCGCGAACCAACGTCATTTTGGCGGGAAAATATGATAGCCATCGTCATTCTACTACGAGTTTTAGCGAGAATGTCGTAGTGGCAGGAAAAAATTACCAAATGTGAGGAATTTTATCCTTTTAGTGATCGGGAGAGGGCGTCAACTTCTTCAACGGAAATAAGCGAACTAACTTTTGTGGTGAAATAAACTAGAATGAAGCTCTTCGAAGTGTTTATTATAACAGAATAGGCGAGAACACTGAAGATTAAATGTCGTCCTCGTCCTCCAATCTAAAGCTCTTTATTGTCCACCCAAGCCTTGACCTCAGCTGCTCGTTTGCAAGTGACGTCACGGAGGCCATGTTAGTGGTCAAGAACAAAAGAAATTCTGAAGTCTATTTTGATTTTAATTCTTCGACAAAAAATCCTATTGTATTGACCCCAACATGGCCGCCTTGTCACGTGGTTGCAAACAAAGAATTCTTTGTGTTTGCTTACTGGAGCGGAATGCAGGAAAGGTCTATTAGTGACCAAACCACAGATGGAGGAGACGCGTGTACTAGATATGTCAGATATACAAGTCATTTATACGTTTTAGTTTCAATCTGACTACTTTATCTTTTTATTATAAACTTGCCCGTCTTTTCTTGGTCGGTCTGAAAGGCTCAAGGTACCACAAGAGCTGTTCTTGTTTCAACTCCTCAAATCTCTTTAGAAGCTGAAGTCCTGATTCCGTTGCAAGAATTTGCTTTAAGCATGAAGCAGCAGCGGTTACAACTTGAACACTGTAACCATAATAAAAACGTTATTAAGAGTACTCGTTTGGGTTATCAAGTTAGGTTTCTGGAAAACTGCCCACCTGCCCCTCCCCTAAGCCAAAATTAACAGCCAACATTAACAAGCTGCTGGCGGTTCTTTTCAGTGCAATAGCATGGATTGTCCCACCTGTCTCTAGGTTGAAAACGGCCGAAATCAATATAACTCAGTCCAGTCAGACAATGCCACCAGTAAAATGCCCAGAGGGAAGTTTCTCCAAGCGAATACAGGTTAATAATAGTTAAACTTCCATTCTTCTGACGAAAAAGGAATACGTAAAATAAGGCTATGTTTTCACTACCCCGGAGAGTTCTTCGTGCCGACATGAAAAGCTATCCGGTATAGTATGAACAGCGACGGCACCGAACTGGAACAAGTCGTTCACACACAGCGAATTAACCACTCCAGAAAATACATAACATACCATAATGCTCTTTGTTTGTGACCCCCAAATTTTGCATAAGCATTGTTTTCAGTTTCTCGTGGGAGTTAAAATGGCCCCAAAAAAAAACTAAAAAAAAAAATGCTTATGCAGAATTTTGGGTTCACAACAAAGAGCATTATCGTATGTTACGGTGTTTTTTGGAGTGGTCGATATCGTGCCGGAGCGGTTAGCTGAGAGGGTTTGGTGAACTAAATCCCAGTTCTTACTTCTAAATATCAACTTCCGTCTCAGCAGGTTCCAGTCCTCGCTCCTTTTTATTCACTTACGCTATGGCCGAATAACTGTTCTGTGGCACAGAACCTTTTCGCTATGTTACGTTCTACTTTCGAGATCGGCGCGGCGTAGCTTCGCTCCGTTACAGAAATTGCGCCAAAACACGTTTCGTGTGTGTGAACAGAAGCCTATCCGGTAAATGGGTTTCGTGCCGGCGCTGGAGCTACCCCTGCCTCGTACCCAGACGTCTCTCTTTTAATGAAAATGTGCGCGGGAAGGAAGGCGGGAAGGAGACAACGGGCGAGACGGCGCTTCGCCTGCCGTCTGTACCCTTCCAATGGTCTCTTGCAGTTCAGCACCAGTCACTTGTTTGGGGCTCGCCTCTTCCTGAGGAGGAGGCTGAGAGCTATCCAGTATAGTGTGAACATAACCCGACAAGCAACAATTCATTACACCATTTCAGAAAACATATTTTAAAAAAAACACGAGCAAACTATGCAGCATCAAGTATGTAGCAACTAAATGAAAATATCAATATCGGAATAAACACAAATGCCTTACCTTTTGTCTACAAGATAGGAATTTAAAAGGCGCACAATAGTAGAATTTCTTTGACTTATAGAATTGCCAGCTAAGGAATCTGAAAAGAAAAAAACGATAAAACCTTTTGACTGCAGTGGTTTTTGAAATTAGCGTTATTTACCTAAAACTTAAGTAACAGGTCTTTTGCTAGATGGCGTCATTTTAATTAACGTACTAGAATCGTTCAGAATCGTATTTTCTTGCGCAATTAGGGCTATTGATTTTGAGACCTCAGTAGATTGCTAAATTTAAATATGAAAGGAAAACAAAATGGCCTCTTGATTTTGAAGTCAAATGACCTCATCGTGAATGCTTCGGTAGCCAATGGCAACAGGCATGGACAACCCAACGAACCAATCAGAAGTTAAGGCAATGGTCTAGTGAACACATATCCCCAGTAAAATGTATTCGTCCGTAGAACAGCGCTTTACATCTCTTGAACAAATGGCAACTATTTTCAGGTTTTGCAGAAACAAACTTTTGATTCAATGGAAATTTTCAATATTCACAAGAGTACCCTGGCTTATTTTCTCCGTAAGGAGGTCCTGATTTAAAGTGTTAACACAAAAAAAGATCCCACTTCCGAATGGATGGTTTTCCCTGCAAATCCATCAACCAAATAATTGGCCTTCACGTAGAGAATATCAATTAAACTTAACTTTGTCAACTGCATGCATATCAAACAGAAAAAAGCAGGCCAATTGAGCTTCAAATGAGATTTTTCTAGCGTTTCCATTCGTACAAAAATTGAAAAGCGTACCCTATACTGGTATAAGGCCATTATTAGAGAACGCAAACAAATGCACTCTTAATTACCTGTTTCTGCATCTTTACATCTAAGTGAAACAGTTGATAGGTCTACAGCTCCAATTTCTCCCAGGCAGGTTGCCACTTCACACTGCACAGCCTTAGCCTGGTCTTCTTCACACGACTTTAACACAGAACCAAGCTTGATAAGCCCGTGAACAAGGTCAGCAACAGTACTGGATGACGGCTTGCTACTTGCGACTAGAGAGTAGTAAAAACAACAACAAAAATAAAAACATAGGAAACGTCTCTTTCGGGTTTTGTTCTTTTGATAGTTTTTTCTTTTATGTTTCTTATAGCATTGATATTTATTTCTCTTTTTTCGCCTTCCCCCACCTCGAATAGATCTTCTGTTTGAGGGGGAACATTAAACATGAAACTCTATTGTATTATTGAAGTGTTCCTAATACAGTGTGTTGTTGTTTTGTTGTTGTTGAAGTGTCATTATGGGGAGCAAGGGTGGCGCATTGGTGAGAGAACTCGCCTCCCACCCATGTGACCTGGGTCTCCTTCAATCTGAGAGGTTTCTCCCCTCCCCTCCCCTCCTCTCAATAGCCAACATTTCCAAATTCCAATTCGACCAGAAATGGTAAAGGAAGAACCACTATGTGGATGTGCTACCTCTAAATCGTTATTTATTTTATTTTTTTAACAGGTACCTACTTTACCGTATATCCAGATAATACCCAAGCGTAACCGTTCATCTACAGATTAGATGTGAATATGACAAATACCTTTTATTGTAAGGAACGGGCCCTTTATGTTGGCTATATGTAGTCGCGCAACTGATTGCTGCGAACAAAACCTAAAGTGAATACGGTTACGGTATTGTTTGGTTCCTCTTAGTAAAACTTCATCACCTCCCGTCCTCTCAACAAGATCCACCAGCTGGTGCTTGTTTTTAATTATTGATGCCTTTAGCAGCCTCAAGCCCTCCAGTCTAGTCTCAGGAGACGAGTGTGAATCCGCGGACAGAAAGTGGGTAATTTCCTGATAACGAAGAGATAAAAAATTCAAGGAAAATCAATCCATAAAGCCTAGCATAGGATAGGGTTGCCTCAAGTATCCGAAGGAGAGGAAAGTGAGCATTAACAAGGTAGATTTATAGGCATTCTGAGAACCCACTTGAAACTTGCATAAAGACGGCAAATGATAGGTCTATAGAGGATATTTGAGGCACCTAGGTAAAACACGAACTTGTTCATCCTCCCTATTTTATTGGACAATAAGCAAATAAATGAAAACATGAACATATGAACAAAGTTTCACTATTCAACATTCGTAATTGTTTGAAACAATAATGAAACATCATTAACTGTGCGATGTCCAAGTTTGTAAGGATGCTTAGAGTGACGACATAAGTTCAATGATATTACTCAGGCTAGCGGTGATGACGATGCTTATGACGTTGATGATGATGACGATGACGATAATAGGTAAACACAAGTAAGCCACAAGGACGAATATGCGTTTTGTTTTGTCTCTAGATAACTTGAAAGCTTTTACCTCAAGTAATGAAGTTCGATCTTTCTTTAACTGCTTATGGGTCTTATTGATTTTTTTGAACTCCATAGTGTCTGGAAATGGATCGAGACACCTAATAGTGTCACGTAAGTCTTTACTTGAGTCCAATATCAAGAAGTTCAGCAATTGAAAAGCCTGTATGAAAATCAACACAGCAATGAGTCACACCTTAAGCTTGCTGTTGCAGTCACTAACGTCGATTTTAATCAATTCTACTCGGATATCGTTTGACAGCATGATGACAACAAGCGTCAGATCACCTAAGAGGATAATGATCAAAAAGGGTACCCACACCGAAACGCCTACATTGCTGAGGGACAGTTAGACTGCTATACACACTGGGCTCGAAAAACATTGAATTCCAGCTTGTCCTTTGGGCAAGCAGCTCTCACATTTTGCTGGCCAGGTGCCAATTCTTGCTAGTCTTGGGTAATGATTTCGTTAAAGGATGACTTGCCTGGACCCTTGCCCATTCCACAAGCTTGCTCTAGTAGACACTATCCTCGATTGTAATCCATTCTATTCTGACATCGTTTGACGGCATGATGACAACAAGCGTTAGATCACCTAAGAGGATACTGATCTCTCACATTTTGCTTGCCCGGGGCCACTTCTTGTTAGTCTTGGGTAATGATACTGTTAGAAGATGAGTTGCCTGGACCCTTGCGCATTGGGCAAGTGAGCTTTTAAAGTTGTTACTTGCCCACCAAAAAAAACTTTTTTGTCCCGGACTACCGGACGGCACTTTTTTTTAGTTGTACCAACTACATGCTGATCAAATGTGAAACCCACAAAGGTGGGTGTCACTCTGTACTCTGCTCACTCTGGTATCTGAGTGATTCGTTTTGTAAAATAAGACCTGGTGGAGGCTTAACATCCAAGTTAATATGTGCAAATTACCTGTTCTGCTCTCTCTCCTTCACCCAAGGCATATGGAGTTAAGGTGCTTACGATAACATGAAGATGACTGCTTAACTCCTACATTAGACAAAATAGTTTCTTGTAGATAATCAATGATAGATTAACTAAGTCATATTATGTAAAGGTGAACGTACAACGAGAGACCCTCAGATCCCATGGTAAAAACAAGGGTTAAAGGAGCTGTGTAACGCAATTAAAAAAAGATACAGTGGGAACTACCACCAAATCAAAACGTTAAAACAAGGTATCAGTAACCAACCAATACAAAAAGAGGGCACGGATGGACAAACGTGAAGAAGATTCCACGTGCCCAATGTACCCAAGCCCCTGCGCGTTTGGTTCTAGAACCTGTAACCAGGATACAGAAGACCGGTACTGGGAAAACATTTTGGAAAGGAAAGGGAAAGGGACATTTCGGTCCGACTGGTAGGACCAGCCAAAGTGAGCACCTGCAAAGGTGGTTCCAAATATTACGGTCGGCCCGAACAGAAATGTTCAGTTCCATTTGACTTCTTAATGGCATTTCCAGAATTTTTGGCTGAACGGAAAGTGCACGTTATGTTGGTCCACAACCCTACTGAAACATGATTTAACCCTGGTTTGTGCTCTTGAGTAATGGGAAAACTTTGAAAAGAACGGTTGTTCATCTTACCTGGCTACAACATTCCACGGCGGCTTTACAGACATAGTAAAGAAGATTGCAACATGGTAGGAACAAGTCACTATCTACGACAAGTTGAATTTCCTGAGTGTGCTGCTTCGGACGTTTTTCAAGTTCTTTCTCCTCGTTGATAATTCTCAGCAAAGAATGGATAACATCTCGAATGAAAAAAGCCCAGTTGTTCCTTAACCCTTGGGCTAAGTCTTTTAGCAGAAGCCACACGAAAAGTCGATACATTGATAAAATTCTTCTCTTTTCGTGAATAAGGTGGGACTCAGCAATGCGAGATGTAAGCGCCAATAAAATTTTCTGAATGCTGTCCTGAAAAAAAAGAGAGGTTGCTATAGTTTTTATTGAATATCTAATACGAGAATTTGGGGTTATATAAATATAAACATCCTCTGGCTGATAAATTTGTCTATTCTCACCATTTATCTGTTGGACAATGTATTGAATATTTAAGGAGAAGTTACATAACAATCACTTCTGGGAGTTAAAGAGTCAACGTGAAAACAGAAAAGAAAATGTGTTGCCTTACGGCTTTGCAAAGCTCATCAAAGAAAAAATGGACAATTAATACAAATTTTTACACATTAATAAGTTTAAGTGCCAGGTCGAGAGCTTTTGATTCATCTATCAATTTCAACCAGCTTTTTGTGAAGTAAATCACTACAATGACTGCATTGTCTCGAGCAGAGAAAATAAAATAAATACAAATACCTTTGAAGTGCAAAGTACCGAGACGATGGACTTGCCTCCAGGATGACAGCTTGTAAGGTAATCAAATGTAGCCTTGATAGCATGTGACGTGAAAAAGGGAGGATCAGGCTCTGGGTCGGTTTCTCTATCAGGAAAGTTTGCAATTGTAATTATAAATATCATATTATCCATTCCCTTCATGGCTTTTGAAATATTTAACAATTATTCCTCGAGCCGGAATGGGCCGGATGGGCCATGAGGGCGAGAGTAATAATTGTTTTAGTAAAATCCAACTATTTGGTCAAAAATATCGAGACAAAACAACTTTAGCTAGTTAAAGCAAGACTTTAATCATTTTTTTGCCGCCAAAAATCCGGCGCTTTTCGCTACTAGGGGGCTATAACATAGAGCCTAGTAGCAGCTCAACCAATCAGAATGCACCATTGATAATAGAACAATAGTTGGACTTTACTAAAATTTAAAACACTAGTTGAGGAACTATAGCCAGACTGCCTAAGGTAAGAATATCCCCTGATGCGAAAGCGTGTTTGAGATGGACCACTAAACCAGGAAAGATTTCTAGCTACCATAACATTTAAAAGTTGTAAAGAGTAAACAGTAGAAAACGTTATACAAAGAAAAGCCTTTCTTGAGGAGTAGCCTAGTTTAAACTTCATACAAATAACTGAAAAAAAAAATTTCATTTAATCAGCATGTTCTCTGGCATTTTGCATACACAATGTAATGTTTGGGTAGTGCTGTTAACGTGAAGCGCAAAAAAAACTCCTCCTCTGGGTCAATTGTCTAGAAATCCACTCCCGTGATCAACGTTGGTCAAAAGGCAGACTCCCAAATTTCACAGTGGACTACGTGCACATAGTCAACTGCTTTACTGCTTTAAGTTTAAAAGAGATACTAACTTGGTAAACTGGGAAAGGTCCGAGCCTTCTGAAGTTGGTTCATACATCCGTAGAAGAAGAGATACTATCTGCTCGTCAAACTTCTTTGCAAATAACTTGTCTACAGCCTGCAAAATAGACTGCAGTGTTGCTCAACTGTGCTTATGAGGCGGAGAGTTTTTGACCTTATAAAACAAGAACTGAGAGCATATTGAAAGGCTTAAAATTTGCCTATATAGCAGTTTATTCCTCTGCCAATCGCTCAATTTTTGATTCCCCACTAGTAAAGAATTGGAGTTAAAATGCGGCCGTGTTTTATGAGGTTTTTAAAATCTTGAAAACCTTGAAAATATAAAAAATAAAATTAAGTTTTTGTTCTTGAAAGAACAAAACTTCAAGTGTATTTTCTATACTTTCATCAGTATTTATTTTTTTACCATTGTCTAATACAAGCCCATATGATTTTATTGAGCTCATCTGTCTGTTGATGGACTATGGTTTAAGCATGCAACAACCTCATTTGTCCAAATGCACTTTCAATGATAGCGCAACTGTAAAACATTTNTGGCATTTTGCATACACAATGTAATGTTTGGGTAGTGCTGTTAACGTGAAGCGCAAAAAAAACTCCTCCTCTGGGTCAATTGTCTAGAAATCCACTCCCGTGATCAACGTTGGTCAAAAGGCAGACTCCCAAATTTCACAGTGGACTACGTGCACATAGTCAACTGCTTTACTGCTTTAAGTTTAAAAGAGATACTAACTTGGTAAACTGGGAAAGGTCCGAGCCTTCTGAAGTTGGTTCATACATCCGTAGAAGAAGAGATACTATCTGCTCGTCAAACTTCTTTGCAAATAACTTGTCTACAGCCTGCAAAATAGACTGCAGTGTTGCTCAACTGTGCTTATGAGGCGGAGAGTTTTTGACCTTATAAAACAAGAACTGAGAGCATATTGAAAGGCTTAAAATTTGCCTATATAGCAGTTTATTCCTCCGCCAATCGCTCAATTTTTGATTCCCCACTAGTAAAGAATTGGAGTTAAAATGCGGCCGTGTTTTATGAGGTTTTTAAAATCTTGAAAACCTTGAAAATATAAAAAATAAAATTAAGTTTTTGTTCTTCAAAGAACAAAACTTTAAGTGTATTTTCTATACTTTCATCAGTATTTATTTTTTTACCATTCTCTAATACAAGCCCATATGATTTTATTGAGCTCATCTGTCTGTTGATGGACTATGGTTTAAGCATGCAACAACGTCATTTGTCCAAATGCACTTTCAATGATAGCGCAACTGTAAAACATTTGGACTTCTAGTCGTCTGTTACAGGTAATATGTGAGCATCCAATAGTAAAAGGGATCAATAAAATCATACAAAACTGTCAAAAGAAAACATCTGGCCTTTTCTAAAAATGTACCAGACCAAACTGACCTCCTCGGTTAGAATGCTGACAAGAAAATCAGAGCTCTTTCTGGCTTGTGCAATTTTTGCCTGCTCACTTGACTTCAACGAATCTATTCTGCTTTGTTGGGCAAACCACGGCAAATAATAAGCGGTGATATGGCAGAAGCTTTCTCTTACAAACTCCCTGCAGTCGCCGCTTGGGACAAGCTGTTCGGTAAACAGTGCAACTGATTGCTGAGCAGTCTCTGGTCTTGATATGAGACTGGGCAGAATGGATGAATGATGATACCTTGAATATACAACGAACGGACATAGAAATAAGCCTGCTTCAAAAACCAATAGACCTTATTCACGATTCCCGTCATCTTTGCTCGCGCATTAGGATTGATGAGATAAAAGCGTTGTCACGTGGTATTTCAGGGGGGAAACAAGTGATAAAATTTGCCAATATAAGTAGTAAATGTCGAGTTTGTTTATTCTCTCAAAACGAGACGACGATTTGACAATCAAGCAAAGTGTACGGGTCGAATTTCCTCAAGTTTCATGTCAATATTGCTTGCTGTGAGAACATGTACGGTCGCTACTGCATTAGACTGCTTGCAGTCCGCCTACCTGCAGTCGCCGCTTGGGACAAGCTGTTCGGTAAACAGTGCAACTGATTGCTGAGCAGTCTCTGGTCTTGATATGAGACTGGGCAGAATGGATGAATGATGATACCTTGAATATACAACGAACGGACATTGCAATAAGCCTGTTTCAAAAGCCAATAGACCTTATTCACGACACTCGTCATCTTTGCACGCGCTTTAGGATGGATGGGATAAAAGCAATGTCTCGTGGTATTTCAGGGGGCAAACAAGTGATAAAATTTGCCAATACAAGTAGTAAATGTCGAGTTTGTTTATTCTCTCAAAACGAGACGACGATTTGACAGTCAAGCAAAGTGTACGGGTCGAATTTCCTCAAGTTTCATGTCAATATTGCTTGCTGTGAGAACATGTACGGTCGCTACTGCATTAGACTGCTTGCAGTCCGCCTCTTTCTAGTTCTTATCTCATCCAGCGGGATTGCAAACCACGATGTTATTATATAGGGATCGAGACGAGACGACAAAATATTTTTTCTTCTAGGGCTTACGCCCTCGTTTCTCGGGGCAAGCAGCTTCGTCGCTCGCGTATTTAGGTTTCGCGTGCAGTAACTTTACAAAGAAAAATAAGAGACTGCTCGAAGTCTACTACTGCATCCAAAACAGTAACAATGATCACTTACACCTACAGTTTGCCATTATCGTTTTCAAGATAAAAAGTTGTTCAGTTTCAGTTGTCTAGAATAAAAAAACACGTCTGCGATTTATTGTATTGGCAACTTTTATCAAGTGTTTGCCCCTGAGAAACCATGTGACATTGCTTTTACCCCATCAGTCCTTTAGCGCGTGCAGTGATGGCGGGTATCGTGAATAAGGTCTAGTTCCTTGCCCCTTTAACTCTCAAAAGTCGTTTAAGTCAAAATTAAACAAAATTTCCAAATTTCATTTTGTAAAATAATGAAAAACAAATAGCAATAGACCATACAAAACTACTGCTGAAGAGGTTTCGTTTGAATGGTCATACCATGCGATTTCGTTGACAGACTTAAAAGTTAGAACTATATACATGCACTATATAAATAATACGATGTGAAAGTACTACTGAAAAGGTTTCATTTGAATGGCGACACAATAGGATTGTATCCACAGACTCACCCAAATAAGAACAACATACTAAATAAATAGCACCATTAGCACCATGGGAAGAAACTACTGAACAGATTTCATTTAAATGGTCACACCATACGATTTTGTCGACAGGCACAAAAACTAGGACCACTTTTCACGGCTCATCAATCAAATCTGGGAGTGAAAAGGTTTAAGTACCAGCTACCCCAACGGAAGTTCAAGTAATTTATTACACTTACTGGAAAAAGTCAGCAACTCTTTTGAAATCTAGCATCTGACAGGGAAAGTCAGTAATCTTAAAGCCATGTTTTAGCCAGTCATCAATGATAAATTCTAGATGGTTCTTGACATAGGCAGCTCTTGATGTGTAACCCAGCTCACAAGCCAGCTGAGCCAGAACCTAGCAATAGTTTTTTAAAGAAATAAAATCTACCTTTTCCAACAGTGGCCGAGCTAAATGGGAAAAAATTATTTATCGTCCCATTAATTAAAAGCTCCACGAAAATCCCGCGCACTGCAGTGCAAAACAAGATAAGCAAGACATGGCAAAATGAGTGCAGTGCTGGGTGGGGTTCACTTACGTTCAACACGCTTAATCTCGGGGTCACATTGTGCATTCCTGTACTAATATGAATTTGTATTCACTTTTTGTCCATTCAGCACCAACCTAACACTAAGCCTGGATATAGATCATCCGCCTACGTTCTAAGTCCTAAAGAGATTTCAATTTTATCCCAGTACTTGAAGAAGCTGCATTTTCACAACATATGAACCACTTCCCTCTGGAATTTAGGGATCGCATCCTGTTAACGTCCCAATCTCAAGGGTAAAGAATATTAGGTTTTAAATCTGTTAAATCTATATATACTAATATACAATAAGTCACCAAATTACCAAAAAGTTTTTGTTTTCGAGTTTTCAGAGTTGTTACTGTGTCTTTCGCAGGACCTTCGTGGGTTCGATCTCTATTTTAGAAACAATTTGGGAGATACTGCTTAAAGTCTTGAACAGCACAATAACGTAACAAAAGAGAGCATTTGAATTGATTTCTACTCTTTACCTTTTTGACCAAATCCTTGTCCAAAAACTGTTCCTTGACTGCTTGGAAGAGCAGAGCAATAGCCCTTTTTTCACAGATAGGACTGACGAGTGCAATTTGTTTGAGGCATGCAAGCATAGAGCTAGATCTGTTAACACATTCATCTTCTCTTTCCTCTTCACTCAAAGTTTCCTTTATCAAATAAAAAAGTTAAAAAATTTATTCCAGACCCTCTGAATAACGCCAGTTGATGATGGAACCTCCCTTGGTTTTCGCGCAACAATTATCTTTATTGGATATTTGCGTTATGCACATATCGAACAGCATTAGAAGTCATTAACAGGCACTACATGTTGCACACCGTTAATCAATTATTTATTCATATTTATTGATTATTTTAAGGATCTGCTCGAGACTGGGTCGGTGTGGTGTTGATTTGCACCATAAGGATTTTTTTATGAAGAAGAAATTTGACTTACTTTTTTGTGTAACCTCGTAATAGACAATAGAGAGCTTTAGATTTGAGGACGACAACGAGCGCGAGTGCCAGATTTAACTTGAAGTTTTTGCGCGTGTTTTCAAGAAAAGACACCCCGGAAAGCTTCATTTCACTCTTTTTCGCCAAAAAAGTTAGTACGGTTATTTATACTGAAGGAGGTTAAGCCCTATCCCGGTAGCAAAATAATAAAACCTCTTACATTTGATAACTCGTTCCCGCCACTAAGACATTCTCGCTGAAACTAGTAGTAGAATGACGACGGCTATCACGTTTTCCCGCCAAAATGACGCTGATTCACGCGTGAGCAATACTCAGTATTGGGAAAATCTCGTACTCGTAGTAGTCCTAGTCTCAGAATCTAAAGCTCTCAAATGGAAGAAGAGAGAGCATCCCCAGAACAGTCCCATGGTGCAATTTGACACAACACCGATCAGGTTCACGCTCAACCCCAAAATGACCAATAACATTTACTCACGGCCACTGTTTCAGTTAATGACTGAACCAGGATTTGTGCCACACGCTCAAACATTTCGTACTGATGGTCACGAGGAGCAGGAACAGCAGAAGCGTTTGTGACATGTCTCACAAATAGCACTTTAATGGCAGAAGCCATGTATGTTCTTAACAGGTGGCTGGAGTCACCAAGAAGCTTGGGGAATTCCTCGCTCAGGGAGAGAGACGAAGATTCCTTCACAGCTGCAGAGAGAGTAAAAATAGGAACCATAAAACGGGTAAGCAAGGGAAATATTGTGATGTTCAAACCATTTTAAGTCACGTTTGAGATCTTATAGCGAAAAAAAGCCAAACCGAAAAGTCTCGTGTCAGCAACAAAAGGAGTCCCCAAAAGACAGACCTTAATTCACCCACAAAATAATATCACGTTCATAGATCACAGTCAACTAGCTTGCTTTCACATTATCAGTCAACTTCATCACCTGCCTCACGAATTACCAATAACCGCGATACCACAAAACGCTGCTCAGCCCACGGACACATTTGCCAAATGTAATGACAGTTAGGGCAAGGTATACACGTAAACACCAAAGTTACTGCCGTGCTTACCTGTTTTTTCCGCTTTGTAAAATAATGCTGACTTAATATGAAATCATTCTGTAACACACGTAACAGAGAAGCCTTACCTCCATCCCTATCTTTCTTTACTTGCTTCATACCACACCAATTCTCCTCTGGATCCACCTAAAATAAAGGGTTGCGTTACACCACAAGGGAATGAGCCTAAATCAACTTAATAAACCAATAAATAAGTAAATATTATATACAGATTTAGCCAAGGCCAAAAGCGAAGCTCTCGAAGGATGCTTTAGGAAACGTCTTCCTCAATTAATTATACTTTGGCCGTAAGCAGAGAGCAAACCGAATTTTACCTTTAAAAAAATTAACCTGCGCCCGCGATCAATTAAAAACGAGCAACTGGTCAGCGGATATCTTTAAAAATTACATCACTTCCATGAGTTGTATACCTGAGCCCGCGATGCAGTCATTTGCAATTGGTCAGAGGATACTCTTTTTTGACAGCTGTCAATTGATCACAACTTGGATGTCCAATACCAAGTTTTACACAGATAGTATTAAAGTGTGCCATTTCGCATCCGCTAATATGAAGGGGTGGACGTACGTATGGACGTACTCCGTATGAACGATTTCCTCAGAACCTAAATTTCTTGGAAGCATAGATTACCATATTTTCTTACCCATGGTGCTCCGCTGCGCGAGAGCTCCGCTATAACGATTTGGAGGTAGCACATCTTCGTTTACCCGACGCCGGGATTTGAGCCCGGGCCAAATCGGTGGGAGGCGAGTGCTCACACCACTGTGCTATCCCTTGCTTAATATGGCGTAATAAACCAAGTACCTTCAAAAACGTCTCCATGCATTTTGCCATGTGTAACCTTACAATCGGACTGTATTGCGTATCCTTTAAAGTCCTGTAAAAAAGTAAAATCCAAGGTGCTTGATAGTCAGTATGCCCTTTTCACATTACGCATTCTTTGCATACCTGGAGCAGTAGCTATTAAAAGCCTCTCGCCTTTGTCTATAAATGTATATTACGCCGAAGCAGCCTGTAAACGCCTCACTAAAATCTATGGCGAGAAGATAATACCTGTTTCTTTTAAGGAAGAGGCTGAAGCCGTATACTTAAACTCTCTCATCGTATAATAAATGCAACACGGGTGAAACATTGAACTAGATTCCACAGAAACCATTTTTAATTTTGCGGACCATCTCAACCAGGGAAAGAGTGATGAAACAGGTCGCATTCGTCAGTACTGGATAAAGAAAAAATCTGAGTCCCAATCAGCAACTCAACCGAAGAACCTTAACACAAGTAGAGAAATATTAACTTGACCGTCTTAAATGTCTACAAATATAATCTTACCAAAATGCTTTAAGTATGTGGGCTGCAATCTCCCTTGAAGACTNCTTATATGATGGGGTGGACGTACGTATGGACGTACTCCGTATGAACGATTTCCTCAGAACCAAAGTTTCTTGGAAGCATAGATTACCATATTTTCTTACCCATGGTGCTCCGCTGCGCGAGAGCTCCGCTATAACGATTTGGAGGTAGCACATCTTCGTTTACCCGACGCCGGGATTTGAGCCCGGACCAAATCGGTGGGAGGGAAGTGCTCACACCACTGTGCTATCCCTTGCTTAATATGGCGTAAAAAACCAAGTACCTTCAAAAACGTTTCCATGCATTTTGCCATGTGTAACCTTACAATCGGACTGTATTGCGTATCCTTTAAAGTCCTGTAAAAAAGTAAAATCCCAGGTGCTTGATAGTCAGCATGCCCTTTACACATTACGCATTCTTTGTAAACCTGGAGCACTAGCTATTAAAAGCCTCTCGCCTTTGTCTATAAATGTATATTACGCTGAAGCAGCCTGTAAACGCCTTACTAAAATCTATAGCGAGAAGATAATACCTATTCCTTTAAGGAAGAGGCTGAAGCCGTATACTTAAACTCTCTCATCGTATAATAAATGCAACACGGGTGAAACATTGAACTAGATTCCACAGAAACCATTTTTAGTCTCGCGGACCATCTCAACCAGGGAAAGAGTGATGAAACAGGTCGCATTCGTCAGTACTGGATAAAGAAAAAATCTGAGTCCCAATCAGCAACTCAACCGAAGAACCTTAACACAAGTAGAGAAATATTAACTTGACCGTCTTAAATATCTACAAATATAATCTTACCAAAATGCTTTAAGTATGTGGGCTGCAATCTCCCTTGAAGACTCAAGGTCTGAGTCCAGGTTTGTGTTGTCACTAAGATGGCGGGTTAGCTCCACCAAAAGTTTGAGACCTTGACAACAGACCTTCTGATCCTTTCTATACTTTGACATAGCCTGCCTACACGATAGTGAAAAGTGTTGTTAAAAAATGATTAATAACAAGCACATGTAAAACACGCCAGGTCACACCCTTCGGCTGATTATTACTAGTTTGTAACATGACTGAAACAAATTGCTTTCCGTCGTAAAACTCATGAAGTTTTAACAGCACTACCTAAAGGATAGTGACTAGTTTGGTTGCTTTGAGGTCCTGGGAGATTCTAGTGATCCCAGTTACCAGTGGTTCTGCTTTTTATACGAGAGTTGACTGTCACGCCCTTCGGTCACGCCCTTCAGTCTTACAACAACACCAAGCACATTCAAGGGAATAATGGAACTTAGGCACTTGATAAACAAGATGATGTGACTGTGTAAAGGGAACTAATAACGAATTGTCCAGGGTAATGAAACATATTTTGACAAGGAATTTACGTAAAATATTAATAAAACTTAACTTATGGTTTTGGCGAATTTGCCAGACTTATTTCCATTACTGCAAAGTGATTCTAAAACTTCTTTCACAATATGATTGTTGCAATGTCTTCGATGCAGTTGTCCCTTTCGTCAACGGTCGCTACCACTTTTAAAATGTTTGATCTGTTTTTTCCAAAATTCTGAAAAAAATTAACTACATACACTGACACTGTCTTTCTTAACTGTTACTTCAATAACAGGTGACCCTAGCCCTTTCCATAAATTTAAATAAAAATCAAACTTGGGCTTCAATGCCGTTCTTTCTAACACTATTCAAAAACGTATTATATACCTTTTGTAACTTAATCCAGAGAATATGTTACATCTATCACGACTAATGGTGGCATCGACCGTTAAAAATGGTAAAGACCGTTTACGAAAGGGAAGTAGACGTCACCGATATCCTGTAAGAACACAGTGAATCAGAAATACAAGAATTAAGGTCATTACCTAAACACCTCCAGAAGGACTTCCAAGTGATGACTTGGAAGAGAGGTATTGCTGGATGCCAAGGCAAAGGATACTGTAAAATACTAAAATGTGGTAGGAGGTTAGAAACTAAATCAGCTTAACTACATGGCCAATACACTTCTTGTCACTGGCTCGAGAATCAAGTACTACAGAGTTAATGTGACATTTTAAGTGGTAATTGTATTGCGTGACTGTAAAATAATAACAACCAAACACTATAAGAACATACCAACTTAAGATCTCCATCTTTCGAAATGTTAAATTCCTGCAAAAAAGGAAGAAACCAGAAATGAGAACTTCAGATGATGTCACTATTTTGACGATCTCATTTTTCCTAAACAGCAAATACAGGGCAAGGTGCTTTCGACAAAGTGACGAGACAAGGAGTTATAAGTACCGGGGTATTAACACAGACAACTTGAAACTAGGGCACTTTGCACTCAGCCCAAAATTTCAGACATTTCGGTTAGAAATTAAAAGGGACGAACCATTTCTTTCGGTCTGACCAGAATATTTGTGGACAATTTTGACGGTGGTCTTCTTTGATCGGTCTGCTCATTTTGGTCACTCGGATTGAAATATCCCTTTCCATTTGACAAAACTGTTGTTCCCAGTACCACTATTTTGCATTCTGCTTACAAGAACAAACCAAACTTGCACTGGCTTTTGTCGGGTCTGTGCAGCTGGAATGTACCGCTCCATTGGGCAAGCGGAATTTTCTTGTACCCATCCTATGAGCTGTTCCAGTGCATAAGCACAGTGACTAATTTGTAGAATTCACACTTTCAAGAAACCGTTTTCAGACTGGCTGTTGATGGCAAAGGTACCTCGGTGAAAACATTCCACAGACTCGGTGGAGCGTTTTGAAGCATGGGATTACATGGAAAGTTCCATCGCACAGCAAGCCAGGTGCATACCCCTTCTCAAATTTCCCAAAACGCCGTTTTGGTAGTACATTGCACAAAACAAACCTCTTTACAATTATAACAGTGGCCAGTCTGTCTGCAATCTTTTCCAGACAATGCCTGAGCAGGTAGGTGTTTAGAAGATCCTGCATCATGGCGCTTTTGGTTATTGCAAGAAATAAAATGAACGCTTTGAAGTCACCGATGCCTCAGGTAATGTGCAATACGATGTTCACATTTTGTGGACCTCCCGAGAATCACCTTGGTGGCAGACAATTTGTCGAAGGCTAAGCTAACGATATTTTCGGCACTGAAATGTGTGGAGGGGGATAAGTCCCTCCCCCAATTTTGTTGGAGGGGGATATATCACCTTTTCTCCACTGCAACACCTGTACTTTTTGCCAAGAATTTGCACGCCTTATCTACAAACTGCATTTCACCCTCTAAAATCTTCAGAGTCCATGGAGTGAAAATCTTCCTCTCAAAACCAATAGAACCACAAAAATAAGTAAAGTGAGAACATCTATCTTCTTACCTCAGAATTAAAAAAGGTAACAACCTTTTCTTTGATATCATTTGGTTGATGATCAAGAGCGGAAATGCCAATCTCTCTTCCATCGTGCATTGACCACTTGCACAGAAACCTTGCACTACTCTCTCGCAAGGTGGAATACGCTTAAGACAAGATTCAACATCAATAGATCAATACTGAAACAACTTGGACTTACTAAAAACACTATTCCTAGGTTCCCCGCTGTGTCTGACACAGTGAAAAGACGACACAGTATGACGTGAAATTTACTTTGTTTGAGATTTTTGCAAAAGGTCTAAACTCTTCCGTTTTCACTTGCTTTAAATTCTTACCACTTCTTTACTTGTTGTAATGCTGCTTGAAGTTCAGTTGCGCTGACAAAATACTCACCAGATTTTACTCCTTTCTTTTGGGACTGGCTATGTGAGCCAGGGATGGTCACAAGCTCATCACTTGATGACAGATCAGACTCAAAATCATCAAAACCATCTGTTTCATCCATGCTAACCACACTTGTACTCTGGCTGACGAAACTTCTCTCTGTGATATCAAGACGACTAGAATTGACAGACGCACTCTGTGCCAACTAAGGAAAAAAACAAAACCACTACAGCTATATTTTACTTACAATCTATGGTTACTTAAAAAATGGTTTGCCGCTAATTAGGTGGTACTCTATATTTCAGGATTCTCTCATTTTAAACCTTACAATTTGTGAAACAAAAAAGGTACCGTACTTTGTGGCAGTACTCCCAGAAACCACATCCAGAAATTGTCTGTCGTGTTGATGTCGTTCTTAAGACAGCGTTTGCTTTGGTTAAGTAACAGTCTACAAATTCATAGACGTCAAACTGTACTGTAAGTAATAGACGACAAATTCATAAACGTCGAAATGTTCGAGAAGGGTAATTTCAGATATACAGGACAGGAGTGTTCAATTTATGCACCACTTCACAAAGGCCACGATTTCACAGGAGAGATCAGTTACTACAGAAAATGTACCTCTCCAGTGTAAATGGCAACTATTTCACTCGGCAATGAACATAAGGTGTTCTATGTGTTATGCTTTGGTCAAGTGACAGCCTAAAAAGTTATCTTTATCGAGGTCAAAGTTTTGTGGAAGGGTATTTTGATATATACAGGACAGGAACGAACAATAGACCTTTTTACCGATACCGCAGCCATATTGAATTAATTGGATTTAAGGAGTATAATGGGATGCCCGGGGGCATGAGGACGATCCAGTATACTTGCATCAGTATTTACGTTCGCTTTTCGGGCCAATTTTTCCTTAAGTTTTCCTAGAAAAAGATTGTAATGGGAAAAAAAGATCGTTGTGCCGTGTTTGGATATAATGAAGATCGCCTTTTTCCCCAAAAATATACATTGAAATTCTCTTTTTGCCCGAAAAGCGCGCATAAATACTGAGCCAGTGCCCCCTGGGCATCCCATAATACTCCTTAAATCTAATAAATTCAATATGGCCGCCGTATCGGTAAAAAGGTCTATTACTGCACCAATTTACCTCTCCACTGTAAATGGCTACAATTTCACTCAGCAATGAACGTGGGGTCTTTTCTCTTAAGATCATCCCACAAAACAGTTCAGGTGAAGACGCTGTTTCCTGAAAATTAAGCGATGGAGGTTCTTTCACAAAATAGTATGATATTGGATTAAAGTCAAAGCTGCTAGCTAAATTATCCTGGCCCGCATAACAAGCGTTATTTTCTCTTTCCCTTTTTCTAGTCAATGAAGCCGGATGGAGTGCTAAACATGTGTGACAGGGGGGACAAAAGAGAAAAGTTGACAAAAAATGAGCCTAAAAATAGCCACGTGATGTTTTAATAGCTACTTACAGATAAAACAGTGAACATTCGCTCCAATTCAGAAATGATCCCAGTGAGAACTTCCATCCTTGTTGTTACTTCAAGATCATGCGATAGGAATTTTCTTGTACCCATCCTATGAGCTGTTCCAGTGCATAAGCACAGTGACTAATTTGTAGAATTCACACTTTCAAGAAACCGTTTTCAGACTGGCTGTTGATGGCAAAGGTACCTCGGTAAAAACAATCCACAGACTCGGTGGAGCGTTTTGAAGCATGGGATTACATGGAAAGTTCCATCGCACAGCAAGCCAGGTGCATACCCCTTCTCAAATTTCCCAAAACGCCCCTTTGGTAGTACATTGCACAAAACAAACCTCTTTACAATTTTAACAGTGGCCAGTCTCTCTGCAATCTTTTCCAGACAATGCCTGAGCAGGTAGGTGTTTAGAAGATCCTGCATCATGGCGCTTTTGGTCATTGCAGGAAATAAAATGAGCGCTTTGAAGTCACCGATGCCTCAGGTAATGTGAAATACGATGTCTACATTATGTGGACCTCCATAGAATCATCTTGGTGACAGACAATTTGTTGACGGCTAAGCGAACGATATTTTCGGCACTGAAAGGTGTGGAGGGGGACCAGTCCCTCCCCCGATTTTGTTTGAGGGGGATATATCACCTTCTCTCCACTGCAACACCTGTACTTTTTGCCAAGAATTTGCACGCCTTATCTGTAAACTGCATTTCACCCTCTAAAATCTTCAGAGTCCATGGAGTGAAAATCTTCCTCTCATAACCAATAGAACCACAAAAATAAGTTAAGTGAAAACATCTATCTTCTTACCTCAGAATTAAAAAAGCTAACAACCTTTTCTTTGATATCATTTGGTTGATGATCAAGAGCTGAAATGCCAACATCTCCTCCATCCTGCATTGACCACTTGCACAGAAACCTTGCACTGCTCTCTCGCAAGGTGGAATAGGCTTAAGACAAGATCCAACATCAATAGATCAATACTGAAACAACTTGGACTTACTAAAAACACTATTCCTAGGTTCCCCGCTGTGTCCGACACAGAGAAAAGATGACACAGTATGACGTGAAATTTACTCTGCTTGAGATTTTTGCAAAAGGTCTAAACTCTTCCGTTTTCACTTGCTTTAAATTCCTACCACTTCTTTACTTGTTGTAATGCTCCTTGAAGTTCAGTTGTGCTGACAAATTACTCACCAGATTTTACTCCTTTCTTTTGGGACTGGCTATGTGAGCCAGGGATGGTCACAAGCTCATCACTTGATGACAGATCAGACTCAAAATCATCAAAACCATCTGTTTCATCCATGCTAACCACACTTGTACTCTGGCTGACGAAACTTCTCTCTGTGATATCAAGACGACTAGAATTGACAGACGCACTCTGTGCCAACTAAGGAAAAAAACAAAACCACTACAGCTATATTTTACTTACAATCTATGGTTACTTAAAAAATGGTTTGCCGCTAATTAGGTGGTACTCTATATTTCAGGATTCTCTCATTTTAAACCTTACAATTTGTGAAACAAAAAAGGTACCGTACTTTGTGGCAGTACTCCCAGAAACCACATCCAGAAATTGTCTGTCGTGTTGATGTCGTTCTTAAGACAGCGTTTGCTTTGGTTAAGTAACAGTCTACAAATTCATAGACGTCAAACTGTACTGTAAGTAATAGACGACAAATTCATAAACGTCGAAATGTTCGAGAAGGGTAATTTCAGATATACAGGACAGGAGTGTTCAATTTATGCACCACTTCACAAAGGCCACGATTTCACAGGAGAGATCAGTTACTACAGAAAATGTACCTCTCCAGTGTAAATGGCAACTATTTCACTCGGCAATGAACTTAAGGTGTTCTATGTGTTATGCTTTGGTCAAGTGACAGCCTAAAAAGTTATCTTTATCGAGGTCAAAGTTTTGTGGAAGGGTATTTTGATATATACAGGACAGGAACGAACAATAGACCTTTTTACCGATACAGCAGCCATATTGAATTAATTGGATTTAAGGAGTATTATGGGATGCCCAGGGGGCATGTGGACGATCCAGTATACTTGCATCAGTATTTACGTGGCCAATTTTTCTTTACGTTTCCCTAGAAAAAGATTGTAATGGGAAAAAAGATCGTTGTGCCGTGTTTGGATATAATGACGATCGCCTTTTTCCCCAGAAATATACACTGGAATTCTCTTTTTGCCCGAGAAGCACGCATAAATACTGAGCGAGTGCCCCCTAGGCATCCCATAATAGTCCTTAAATCTAATAAATTCAATATGGCCGCCGTATCGGTAAAAAGGTCTATTACTGCACCACTTTACCTCTCCGCTGTAAATGGCTACAATTTCACTCAGCAATGAACGTGGGGTCTTTTCTCTTAAGATCATCCCACAAAACAGCTGGGGTGATGACGCTGTTTCCTGAAAATTAAGCGATGGACGTTCTTTCACAAAACAGTATGATATTGGATTAAAGTCAAAGCTGATAGCTAAATTATCCTGGCCCGCATAACAATCGTTATTTTCTCTTCCCCTTTTTCTAGTCAATGAAGCCGGATGGAGTGTTAAACATGTGTGACAGGGGGGACAAAAGAGAAAAGTTGACAAAAAATGAGCCTAAAAATAGCCACGTGATGTTTTAATAGCTACTTACAGATAAAACAGTGAACATTCGCTCCAATTCAGAAATGATCCCAGTGAGAACTTCCATCCTTGTTGTTACTTCAAGATCATGCGATCTGTTGATCTCACTCACCCCATCAGCCACTTTGTTTAACAAATTCTGCAACACGAAAATGATTCCTTAGCACTGTGATTAGATGTGTGTATGTGTTCACGTCTGCCTGAGAGAGGTTAGCCTGAATAAACGGGCGAGTATGAAGAAAGAGGCGAAATAAACGAGAAGCTGAGGAAGGAAATGTGTGCTTTCCCCTTCCTCAGTCCCACGCTTTTTACGTGACGTTATTCGTCCTTTTCCCCACCAAGGCGCTTGGCCCCAGGCTGAAGTGAGGTTCAGTTAGGTTCAGAGGTGCACATATCTTTGCAAATACCACGAGCCCTAAGTTTCACCCATTGAGAAAAATCACGCCTACCTAACAGAAAGATGTCAAAATTTCCGTAGGTGGCCATGTGACACACCACGTCCTCCTAGAAGAAGTGTCTAATTATGGCGAGATGACTACACCTGTGACACCTGGGTTCAATTGCTAAAATTCCACCTCCACGATGATTTGTTACATTAGAGCTACAGTGTATTTGCTATAGTTTTTTTTTGTTTTTATCTCAGGCAATTTTCATTTTTCTTTTCTCTCAGCTTTATTAGCATACATTACCATACGTAAAAACAAAAGAAAAATAAAAATTACCTGAGATAAAAAATCAACTACAACATATGCACAAATGTACTCACCCCAAGTTTCTTCTTCACGGGCAGATTTCTCACTTCTTCCTGGGTTAAAGAGTTGCTCTTTATCAAGTAAACCATCACCTGACACGCCAAGCAACAAAACCGCACTAGGCCCTCTATTCTTCCACCAAATGACAACAAACGTTCTTTAGACATACCTCCTGAAGACTAAGATACAGACATCTGTAATAACTTAACATTACCTATTTGTTTTAACTTATACACGGGCAATTGTTAAATACTGTACGTTATCTGCACTGTGCACATCATGCCTTTCAAATCTGACTTTGTACTTTGATTGCTCATGATCAATATAAGTAATAATACAGTTTTAAATAACAGACACACGGCCATTTTCAATAGCAACTCTTAGTTTTAAACACAATACTATTTACCTGTATTTCGAAGTTTTCGCACAGTGCGGAGGCTATTTGAGACAATCTATCACACAGCAGGGTACAAAGCGATTCAATCTTTCTGTTGTAATTGGCTTGAATCGTTGGCTTCTTTTCCCTTTGGTTGAAACTTCCATTCCACCAACGAATGTTGACCTGTATTGTTAAATACAATGTCATGAAAATACGTTGAGTAAACGTTGATCGCGTTTAATTGTGATTGGTTGCATGACCAATAATATACATGAAAAAATTTCTCGATTGTGATTGGCTATGAGGAACGCAGTTTTTAGGTAACACAGTGCAGAAAAAAGGTAATTGAGTGCAGAAAAGAGTAACAAACGTGACATTCTGATTGGCTAATAAACAAAGGAACTCACTGAGAGCCAATCAAATGCGTGATCTAAATGGCGCAAAATTTGGATCCGCTCCGGACCAGTTCGAGCAAAAACCGCAATGGTTGGCGATTGCAGCACATTTGCTTTTGCGACCGAAACAACTGTAGAGGAGCTGAAAAACTGCTCTAAAAACGAAAACACTGCGAAAAGCACTGGTTTTTGGCTCTCTTTTCGGAAGAATTGGTGCGTAGGTAAGGAAATTACTGATGAAATAGAAAATTATGAGCCGGCTGAGCTTAACACTTTGCCCGAGCATTTCTACGCCGAAGTAAACAATCCAAAAAGGTGAAGATTTATGAACCAGAAAGCCTTAGAGTAATGAAGGCATCGCTTGATAGACACTTAAAGAACAAAGGCTGCACCCTGTCCATTGTACGTGACCGAGAATTTAGTTCGTCCAAAGAGGTGTTGGAGGAAAAAGCGAAACAGCTTCGCTTGGCTGGCCGTGGTAAGCGCCCAAACAAAGCTCGGCAAGTATCAGAGGAGGAAGAGGAAATTCTCTGGAAGAGCGGAAAACTCGAGGTAATAACCCAAAATCTTTATTTCAAACACATTAAACAATTCCATGAACTGTTCAGCCCGTTTCTGCAGCTTGCAAACTTTAAAAACATCGAGCAAAATGTTGTTTTGACTGCACGTGTGATGATATTTGCAGCATTTGAATAATTTATTTTTGCACGTAGTTTACGCGGGTTGACTCCCTATTAAAGAGATTTTAAAGCTATCTCGCAATTTTTTCATGAATATTATTAATAAGTAATCACATAATTTTTCTCGTGCAATTTGGAATAAATAAGCACTGGTCAATTTTTTCAAAGACCACAAATTGCACTCGCCCTACGGGCACGTGCAATTTTGTTAGCCTTTGAAAAAATTTACTCGTGCTTATTTATTCCAAATTGCACTCGAAATCATGTGATTACCTGTACAAATAAAATGAGCTATGTAATGCTACAAAATTAAATTGAAAGGTTAAAAGGGAAAATCATCCAGTCAACGAAACGACCGGCACAAATTAAGCAACTAGAACAGGCAAACGTTCTTAGATTCTATATTATATGTTTAAGAGGTGCTTTTAAACTTTTAAGATATCTTGTTTGTAAAGATGAACAGATACAAGTTGTAATTCGTGAATTTCCATTCTTCACTAGCTTTTGGAATGAATTATCTTGATAACCGCCTGCATCGAGTCATCACACAGCCCTAGCAACAGCAGAGTGGTCTTTCAGAGTTCCCCTCTACCCAAGCCTAAACATTTCATGGATCAGATTAGTGAGTCAGATGCACACACGAAAGAGGTGAAAGACTGCATACCGATCACTTATTGTATTTGCAAGTGTTTCAGTTTAAAAGGTGCAAGCGAGAGCAAACCTGGCCTGAGAAAACAGGCGACACTTTGTGATGCCACCACTAGTTTCCCCACGAAATGACGTGACAGCGTTCGTACTCTTTTGAGCTCTTCACATTCCATGACTTTTTCCATGATCTTTTCAAGTTTTTCCAGACCTTAGATTTAGTTGCCCTTGAAAACTTTTCAAAATTGTCCTTGTTTTGGGGTATTTCTTCACCTTACACAGTTCAACAGACACAAACACTGGTGTCCACCAAAATGCGTGCCGTTCGCGCTGTTTAATTACTCCTTTATATCTTCCATTGTCCTTGCTTTGTCATCTGCAGCAACTAAACTACCTAATATAACTTTAATCTTCCATGACTCTCAAGGACCGGCGATTAAATTCCATCACTTTCCAGGCCTGGAAAATGAAATTCTTAAATTCCATGACTTTCTAGGTTTTCCTAGCCTGCGAACAGCAGACACATTTCCGGTCGCCGCTTCTCTCGCTCCGAAAAATAGTTTCGGAGGGAGAGAAGCGACAAACGGAAATGCGTCTGCTGTTCGTAGGCTAAGGTATTCCATGACCTGTACGAACCCTGCGTGGATGAGCGCAGAAATTCCATACTTATGACGTGTCACTACCCTTATCTGGCTGGTGCCTCTGGTTGTTTGAAGCAAACGTATCAACCAATCCGAAGCACTAGCAAGGTAGCGACAAGCCATCAAAATGAAATTTCCGCGCTTGCTCCTTAGACACCATTTTGCGTGGAACCAGTGGTGACATCGCCAAATGTCGGTTGCTTTCTAAGGCTAAGGCAAATCAGAAAAATAACAGCAGGTGAATGTAAGACCTGATCAAAGGTTGACTTCAAGTAAACTTCTTGCATTTGAACAAGGGCTCGCTCAGCATCATGAGAGAATTCCTCAGGGCAATGACACCTAAGACCAAAACATGAAAATATTACTAAAAAACAATAATAAGTAAGAGTGATGACCATTTTCAAAACTACTTACCCTGGCGAGTTCGGGCGAAAAACATCCATAGTTGTAGGAAATTTCTGTGTTAGCGCTACAAGGACAGTAGCTAACAATTGTGTATTAGTTAGTCTGGTGAAGTAAAAAGTTGATAGCAAGTAGGTTACTTTAAGACAAAACTCTATAAGGTAAAATATGTCTTTCTTCCCCCGCCTCAATTAGTTCCCTACCTATTTTTACGGGGGAAAATTATTTTCAGTTTTCGACAATGGAGATGGAATAAAAGTCATACTGGAATTTTCTGAAGAAGTAATATAGGGATGCTACAAACCCAAGAAAATGTACTTGCAACCAGTTATGCAAATTGCTTGCTCATTGGACGGTATATAATGAAACCATTTGAACATATAATGTTAAAAGGCATTTCACGGATGAGGGAGAGGCAAAGTATAGTCATATTTAAGACTAATTATACTAAAACCCATATTTTTTACAAAACGGATGCAACATAGCTTCAAACGTACCATATGTTCCTATTTTGGTGAACAAACACCTCAACACAATTAAAAGTTGACTATATTTGGACTTTCGAGCTTGAAATTGTTATTAACCAAATGTCTTAATACCTGCTTGAGGATTTGGCAGCCCAGAATGCCAAAACATCACTATTACCATCAGTCCCATTATCTATGGGTAGCATCCAGTTAAATAATTGATGTCGCAGAGGATATGAACCTTCCCTCGTTACAGGAAATCCTGTAGTTGAGACACAATCTAGCTTTTCTGGTAAATGATGTTGCACTAAATATGTGTAAAGAAACTCCACAGAGAACCTAAAAAAAAGCAAACAAAGCTTTTGCAAGACACAAGCTAATTTAAGGTCGCAGAAAAGGTCCTGTCTACACCACTAAGTAGAACACAGGATTCACATGTACTTAACATGTTCTGAAATCTGAGCCCAATTGGCAATCGATCAAAGTCTGTAAACAGCTTTTATAACAAAAAAATAATAATAAAAAAACGTGTTTAACTAAACAGCTATTCAACATGTTTAAGCTTTGGTATCAGCGGGGCATAATTGCCACATAAGTATTAATCTACCTTGACGGAACTCCACTGCGTAAAATGGTAACAAAAATATCTGGATCTGGGTGGACTTGCTCCTGCAAAAAAAACAATTTGAATTGACGGAATTTTGTTAGATTGTGACCAATGTAAGAACAGGCGAATGACAAACCCATTACAGCATTAGGATGAAATGTGATAACAGAATGGCAGAAACACAGTGATGCAACAGTTAAAAAGCAGGAATTCCACTACAGTCTAAAGGATTTTTGGGAAAGGGGAAAACCCAATGACAGGAACTACATTAATACCCTGAACACGAATAAAAAGCCATGTGGCAATAAATAATGTAGCCTCTGAAAGCTTCTGGGGGCAATGGAAAAGCCAAATGGCAGGAGTTCCACTAACCTCTGGAAATTCTTGGGAGCAATGTAATACTCCAATAGCAAAAATTCTACCAATGTGTGAAAGATGTTGGACAGGGAAACGAGGGTTGTCCAATATACGCGCACTGTAATGGTCCGAACATGACTGAGCAAAACAGTCAAACGGTAGTACCCACTAGAAGTCACTTAAAGCAGTACAATACCCAAAATAAAAACTAAAAAGGAACTGGCATCTGAAAGTTTTGGAAGCAGTGTCAAAGTCAAGCAGCGGTGTGTAGATTTTTGAAAAATACAAAGGGCAGCCAACCTTAAGACACATTATTATGCATTTAAAATATTTCTCCGTGTATAATTACCAAACATCACACACATAATTCATCATAAACAGCTACTGTCGACCAAATTTGGAAGACATTTGCCATATTGAACCGATGACGTCAAAAGTGCAGCAAAGTCGCAGATTATTGAATCGTTAACAGAGAAAACCTGGGACGAGGTTGAGTCGTTTTGGTAGTAAGAACAAAAATAGCGGAACATTTCCCTCATTTCATCAGCAAGAAATAGGTAAACTGTTGGCTAAACACATGGCAAGAACAGCAAGAACACGACTCGAAAGACAACATCTAATATTTGAAGAATACTTGCAGAGCTGAACAACCCTTTATCTCCTAAACTTGCCGATTAACGTGCACTAATGAAGATAAACGTAACATCGATGGAGGTAAGCATGTCTTAGCCTGTTTTTAAACTAGGAATTATTTTGAATGAATAATAAAACAATTATTGAATTTAGCTTTTGTATCATATGCAGAATTATGGAGATCTTAGAGGGTGTTATCCGCCTTGGCCAATAACACCCTCCTCGATCTCCATAATTCTTCAGATGATACTAAGCCTCATTCAATAATTGTTAAATATTCAGTACAAAGGCTAAATGGCACAAATCCTTAAACCCTTACAAGGTACTGCAACGGCCAAGTGGCAGACTTTCTATTTACCTCTGAAAAGTAGTAAAAGTAGTCCAATTGCTCAATAATTAACTATTATTCCGCCAGTGCGCGTTGGATATGAGAGTTAAGATAGCCAACGAGGCGCGTAGCGCAGAGTTGGCTATCATCACATCTCATATCCAACAAGCGCGAGTGGAATAATTGTTTTATTAAAAACGCCCACATAATATCGAGAATTCTTCCCAACTTTATTTGTAAAAACAACCGATTTTCGGCTTGTTTTTAATTTTAAGCAGACGCGTTTAGTTACCATATTTGGAGAGCATGGTATAATGGCTCATATACCATGATGGCTAATTAAAGCCAATCAGAGCTCTAGAATTGCATTATCCAAAGATTCAGTTTATAATAATAGGGATTATATCATGCTTTAAACTTCTAGCATTGCAATAATGTACTGTGACCAAAACGTTGCGTCAATTTATAGGCCACAGAGTCCCAACAGAAGTCATTCCAACAGCATCTCTTTTGCACAAGGGTACTCGGAAGTGGTGTATTATCTTTGTGGGTCAATTGGTGGGCTTACTGTATGTTTCTTGCAAACCACAGGAAAAAAAGAATTTTGTATGCCAAACTTAGGTGACCATAATGTGTACTTGATCAACGAAGAATTTACATTGAGCAATGAATGCTGTCTAAATCTGACCTTTGATCTTTGACAACCTGTAAGCTCAGTATATATCCAAGACGTGAAAACCAGAACCCGATCTAGGAAAAATAGCTATAAATTAAAGGGAACAATTACCTTTAAAAGGGATATAAGAAGAGAAAAACCAGAATCAGTAAGGTGTTTGATCCCAATGATACGTAATGCAGATACCCAAATTTGCTTCAGAGTTGGTTTTATGGATTTAATGACATGCTTTTCCAGCTGAAATTTTCTCTTTGCAAAACACTGCACCAGAGCCTCAATACTTCTTAAAACCTGTTGAATGGTCTCGTGCCTAAGAAAACAAAACAACATAAAATGTCACATGAAACATTAACTAAAAGACAACACAGAAAAGACAAATATAAAATATTGGCAAATTAGACTTCTAACAAAAAAAAACAAGACAAAACAGTTCTGGTAATTTCACTAATCTATTACTATACTAAAGGGATTTGCCAAAGCAACATTATACAGTTGTACATTAATCAAATATCAATCGTTTCATACCTTTTGTGTTTGGTTTGTAATTGGTGTAAGACCAACAAGAAAGGTTGGAACTCAGTTGCAGGGATACTTGAAGGATGCTTACAAAATAAGGAAGATAGAATCTGAAGCCTACAAAACAAAAGACTGACACTCGATTCAAACATACTTTCTACCACGTGCTAACAGAGCATTTTAGTCCTTTCATCTTTACAACCATAGTCTGTATGCATTGTTTAAATGCCATGATGGACAGAATATGTTCTAAGGCCTCCTGTCTGCATCTCACGTGTCAGAGGCCACAAGACTGAGTCAAAGATAAATCTGACCATACACTGTACGTCCCTTGTCACCACTCCACCAACCGATTTTCAAACACCGCAATGCACACACAGCCCTGACCAAAATGTGACACACATACGACTTTCGTGAAGTACAGTGAGGGCTATAGTCGCTATGCACAAAAAGGTGCTAGCAGAGAATGTAAATAGGAAACACAAGGTAAGAGTTATTTGCTATGTTATAACCAACTTAACTATTAACATACATGTGTAGCATGTTTGAAGTTTGCCAAACGTATTTCTACAGGCTTGCATAGTATAGTGTAACTGAAAAAAACTGCAAAAACTCTAGCAGAGCATCCCTGTAGTATAAAGTCAAAAAGAGGCAACTTACCCACACTCGCAACACTCTAAAAACAAAGTGAAGGAAGTGTGGCAGCACAAAGAACACTGTAATCAATCAAAATGATTGTCCATCTCAGATTCTACCATAACAGAATGCATTTCCAATAAAAACGTCATTAACACCTTACCAGGAAAGTAATACCAAATTCTCAGAACTGTTTTCCAAAATCTCTCTTGAAAAGTGCCATCCAAGCTCAATTTTCTGCCTTTTAGCCCCTGTAACCAAACAAAACACAAGAACCAGTTTTCTAACCCAGTAGCACCTTCTGTTAACTCAATATGATTTATCCCTAATAAGCCTCCCTTTTGAATCAATACAAACCACTTCACCTTAAACTAATAATCTTTTAACAGAATTGCTGTACACACAATGTAATTCAAGAGTCTTTTGAGGAGCAAACATCGGTAAAGAATGGTAATTTTGGACTTGTCACTATTATTTCAAACCTGGTTCAGTTGAGTCTTGGCTGGTAGGGATGGAGTGATAATTACTTTGTACCCAAAACACCTGAAATAAGTTTGAACATGGTTAACAAAATAATCCTCATATCTAAATATGATCAATAGTCATACATATCCCTTCTGACCCCACGAAAGCAAGCGTTTATAAACCCCCTTAATTGAAAGAATGTCATAAGATTGCTTACAAAATAATACAGTAAGAAAGTTTCTTGCACTCCTTAACCATTGCAGTATATGAAATTTACTTACGCTTGAAAAAAAATTCTTTAGCATGAGAAAAACTTACAACACAGTTATTCTCTAAAGGAGGCAATGATACTGTGCAAAACCATTGATAAAGACAATGTCTTTTTTGCATACCTGATGAAAAACATCTGCAGCTAGTTCAATAAACTGAGGGGAAAATCCAGGATCCAGTTTCATGCTGTGGTTGTACATTTGTATATTTAAGAGAATTTCATAATGGCAGCATAGATATGAATCAAAGTAGTATAGATTAGAAAATATTCGTACAATGCAGAAAGTAAGTTGCTAAGACTACTAGTAGGTAGAAAAAAGGCAGACATAATCCCTGGTTACCCAAATAGCTTGAACGGGATTCTGCAGTACACTGTTGACTTGCAATGAAGACAATTGCCCCCTTTCATCCAGAAATGGGAATCAAGTAAATACAACGCAACCTGAAGTATATTTCCAGGTAACAGTTGAATCATTTGGATCGAGAGAAGGAACCAAAAAGAAAGTTTCACCTCTAGGATAACTACAAAAAGCACCCGATTGCATGGCTATGGCTTCAGGGCCAAAGCCAGTGGCACTATTTACTTTAACTTCACATCATTTTCCAGCAATCTTGACCAAACATCCTTTGTAAAAAAAAAGACATATTATATGGCAAAGAGAACGTTTCTTTCCCTGGACCAAAGAGGCAAATCCGTCTGTGCAAAAAAGGTCTATTTTGCCATCTTGGATATAGTGAATCAAAACACATGATTTGCTTAATCTCTCCCACTTATGGAACCAGTCAAAAATAATTATTTGGTACATTTTACTCTGAAGATATATTCAGTGACAACCAGCCGATGAATGGGTGATATTCCCAATTGTTGTCTCTCATAAAACCCAGAACATAACAGCAATGATTATCTAAAAGTCCACACCTGGAAGCTCGAACAACTTTCTTCTTTAACTGTTCAACATCATCCACGATTGCTGAGTATAATCTTTGAAGACATTCCTAGTTTAATGACGTGAGACAGTGACAGTCATTTATCCAACAATGTTCAAGGTAATTGAATTAAGTGATAAAAAAGAAACTCATAAGGGGATAAGCCAACCAAAGCACTGTCCCAAATAAGGCTTTATTTTAAAGCATTTGTTACTTGCTTAATTTCTATTAATGCTTTGCCACCTTAACAAAGTCAGTTAAGATTTAAGGAGAACCTCACTACAGAAGGAGAGTGACTGAAAAGCCTTTGGGGTGCCCTGATCTTGGTGTCTTTATTATAGAAAAGAAAAGTGTGATGTCACAAAATTTAAAATTTGTGAAATTATGGGATAGGTTGGCATATTAAGAAAAAACAAGATGAGTAAAAGCCCCCTTTCCAATAATCAGCCGGTTAGTTCAAATTTGTGGGGAGATAAAAGCACCATTATGCTCTGATGACCCAAATTTATATAAATCCTTCTAAAATTGGCTTACGTTGTTGAGTCATCATTTGCACCAATTTGCATTTTGATTTTGGCAAGCGGACATTTTTAATGTTGTTCCTTCTGGATATGCCAGCCTATCCCATAATTTTCCACAAGTAGTTCTTGTGACATCATCACTTCTCATCACTCCAAGAAAAGGTGCCTTTGAGGTAACATGTCAACCAACCTTCCAATGATTAACACTACTGCTCCAAGCACCATGTTCATCTTCATGAACTCCTAGAGGATGGTGAGCACACACCTGTAGCCTCATGAACTGTACCAATTGATCCTAAGCAACAAATCAAATATTTAGTTAGTAAACAGTGCTTGAATATCTCAAAGCCCATCATTATAACATTTGTTGCCTACATTCACTCCCTTAGTTGCATCAAACCTCACAATCTGAGAAGTATTAGAGACACCTTGCTACTGGGGTGCAAGTCCTTTTTTACTCTGTAGACTAACACAAAACATTAATTTTTCCCACTAATGGTCCACTAGAAATAACTGTTAACAAAATGCATACAAATCAGAGTACCTTTCAACCCTTTCACTGCCAGAGTGCTTGATGGAGTTTTGAAAGGTGACTGTAACTTTTGTGTTTGTGGATGAAATCCTACTATGTGACCATTCAAATGAAAGCTCTCTGCCTGTACTTTCACATGGTACTTTTTGTTTTTGTTAGAAGATGAAATTTGGAAATCTGGTCGAAATTTGCCTTTAACTACATTTGGCAGTGGAAGGGTAAAGTCTCAGAGTGATCTGACCTGGATGTCTGATACTGCTGACAGACTGGGCAAAGCCTAACCACACAATATATGCTTAAGGCATGCATCCAACCTGGCAAACCAAAATTTAGGCATATTTGCATAAATGCATACATGTAATAGTATTCAACATTTCGGCATTAAACTTCAAACCTTTGCAACAGGCTGAGCTGTCTTCCACATTTGGAGCATCAGTGGAAACAGAGTTTCTCCCAATCTGCAAACCTGCCCACGACAATCATCAGCACAAGACTTTACAAATGCATTCAGAGCATAGAGGAAGTACTCAACGAGAGATGGGTTGCCGTCATTCCTTTCCATGCAAGACAAAAAAAGGAAATGTAAACAAATAACAACCATTCAGTTCTTTAACCATGCAAATACCTGCTATTTGACAGAATATGGAACGGATGGTAATAAACCCTTGCACCTTCCTTTTAAATTTTGACATGGAACATAACAGTGACTTAATATGTTCAGGATTGCAGTCTTTCACAAAAATTTGCCAGAAACTTTTAATTGCAATGTTAGCAAAACATGATGCAAGAAAATGTTTCAGACACTTTCTTGCAAATATCACAGAAAACAAATATCAAGATTAGCAAATTTAGCAAAGATCATTTTTATAAAGAAGTAAGGAAAAGAAGGCCCTCAAGAGGTCTGCAAATTTCATAGCAAGAATACGCAATTCAACAAGAATTGCAGTGTGTAGAGAAAATTGCTGGCAAATGTTTGCCAAAAAATGTTTTAGCCAAAAAGAAATAACGAAAACTGCTTGCAGTAATCAATCAAAAATTGCAAAAAAAGAAACAAGAATTTTCATTGCAACAACAAAAACAAATTTGGCAAAAGTTCAGACTTCTAAACTTTGCATTGCTAAGAAAGAAACAATTTTGTTAAATTTGTGATTCTTGCTATTCTTGCGATATTTGTTGCTCTGTCTTTTTGGATAACAAGAAAAACTCTCATTACTTTAACGAGTTTTGTGAAATTTGCAGACTTTTTGAGGCCCTTCTTTACCTTTCCCTTTAAGTCTAAAGTTTCGCTAAAATTGTGATTCTGGCTATTCTTATATTTGTTACCCTGTCTCTTTGGATAACAAGTATGATTATTGTTACTTTTATGATTTTTGCAAAATTTGGTGACTTCTCAGGCCTTTCTTTGCCTTACTTCTTTACAAGTCTAAAGTTTTGTTAGATTTGTGATTCTTGCTATTCTTGTGGTATTAATTTTGTTACCCTGTCTTTTTGGATAACAAGAAAAGTTCTTATTACTTTTGCAATTTTTGATGAAATTTGCAGACTTTCCAATAGCCTTCTTTGCCTAACTTCTTTACAAGACTGAACTTTTGTTAAATTATTTGTTATTCTTGCTATTCTTGCAATATTTGTTATCCAATTTTTTTTTATAACAAGAAAAACTTATCACTTTGCAAAATTTCTAGACTTCTTTAGGTCCTTCTTTGCCTTTATTTATAACACTACAGTTTTGTTAAATTTGTGATTCTGGCTATTCTTGTGATATTTGTTACCCTGCCTTTTTGGATAACAAGAAATATTCGTTACTCTTGGGATTTTTGCGAAATTTGCAGACTTTTGCAAGGCCCTTCTTTGCCTATCTTTTTTTAAAGTTCAAAGTTCAAAAAGTTCAAAGTGTTGTTAAATTTGTGATTACTGCTATCCTTGCAACACTTGTTACCATATTTTTTTTCAAAAACAAGAAAATTTCTTGTTACTTTTGCAATTATTGCAAAATTTCCAGACCTCTCAAGGCCTTTCTTTCCTTTCTTAAGCCTAAAGTTTTGTTAAATCTGTGGTTCTTGCTAGTCTTGTGATATTTGTTACCCGGTCTTTTTTCACTTTTGTGGTTCTTGCAAAATTTGCGAACTTCTCAAGAGCCTTCTTTACCTTCTTCTTTATACGAATGAACTTTTGTTAAATTTGCTATTTTTGCAATATTTGTTGTTAGATAACATGAAATTGATTTACATGATTTTTACTTTCACGATTTTTGCAAAATTTGCGGACTTCCCTGCAGGAGTAAATATCAGTGATCAAAGAACACCACCAACAATCAGCCAAAACCTTCTTCTTAAGTGTCAATGGACCCAATCCGTTACAGAGAGTCAATAGACCTGGTGTATATAGGAGATCCATGCACCCGTCAGTCCCAAATGATAGGTCCATGGACCCCAGGTCCATGCTTTGAAAGTCCCGCTTTGTTACTTTAAACATGACATCGCATTTTAAAAGTCGCAATTCACCTCGTTGTACACGTAAGTCTCTACTTTGAACAACTTACCACTTTGAACACACTAATCTGTACTTCAAACATGACATGGCTGTTTCAATTTCACAATTTGCTTTTTGAAAATGACACTGCATTTTCAATGTCGCTGCTCACCACTTTTACACCTTAATCTCTAGTTTGAACACAACATCTTGTTTTCAAAGTGGTGATAAAAATGTTTATAAAAAATATCCCTTACAGGCCACCATAGAAAGAAACTGCTACTGATTCACACTCTGTGAGATGTAATAAATCTGCACAAGTTTTACTCACACCACCTCACTTTCCAATAGAAACTACTAGTTCTCAAATACCACTACTACATGTAGCTCAGGGACAAAGTTTTTGAAAATATTAATTTTGTTGAACCCTGTACTTATACTCATCGAATCCCACCAGCCCTTCCCCCATAAAAAAAATAACCACCTTCCTAGCAACATATAAAAATAAAAGAAAACTTACCGGATCTCTTTGAAGACGTTTTCAAAAAATTTAAAGAGCTTGCTTCCATTAAGAGTACATGAAGCAGAAGCACTCTCCACTGACAAATAAATGATGCTTGCTAACAACTGTTTCTTTTTTGACAACCAAGGAGACTTTTTTTCCATAAATGATACAAAGGTATCTATTAAATCTATAAAACAGGACCAAAAGAAAAACATCCGTCAAGTTACTGTTCCACTAATCTATGAGTAGTCCCTGTTTTTCCTTAGGGATAGAAGAGCAAGCAAAACATGTGTTCGATAAAGATGGATCATCTTAGACGCGCATCTCGCCTTTCTTGCATGGGGTGATTTTCACCTGCACTCGTGTTTCACTCACTCTACTAAATTTGTATCCCTGAGGAAAAATGGGGACTACTCGAACTCTACTGTTCCAACATAAAGTAGACGACACAGGGATGAGAACAGTTTGATTAGTCCACGGCCTTCACCGCACGAGGTCTAAAGTTCAAACTTCAGTGACATCACATCCTTGTTTCAACATCTAGTGTTAAATACCTTTAACACAAAACATTGATGGAGAGATAGAGTGAAGTGAGCACAACATTCACCTTTAGTTTCCCAGTTGAATTATGGTCTTGAGTTATTGACAGCAAGTATGGTCATTTTACCTTTCTACCTTTTATACCTTAAAACATCAGTCTATAAATTTGTTTGTTCTGGGTCTAATGGGACAGTGCATTGGCTCTGAACACCCCAAATGCTATTTGCTAAAATAATTTTGGTTTTATTTCTTCTGTGTCAAACGAAATTCTGTTTTTTCATATGCCTTTACTGTGATAACAAAAAAAGCACCAGTCGTTTTACAGCAAATGCTTTCCTTCTGCGTCAATTTGTGAGAGCCACCTTNAGAATAAATGTTTACACCACCTCAGCTACCTCACTGATATTTATGATTCTCAGTTTTAAAAACCTAGATGTAGTCAAGAATACATTATGCAAAAATGGGTAAAAAGACAGTGTAGGGTCATTTATACTCAAATCTACAAGACCACTGTTAATAATAAACATAAAAGGACAAAACTTACGATCATCTGCTTTCTTTATAAAAGTCCGTACAAAAGAAACAACCGTCTGCAAGAGGAATAACCATGAGACTGCAGTTACCTAATTACTACTAATATTAAATTTTGCATGTGCTTAATTTTGCAATTTTGTCGTGGTTTTTGTAAATCCTGAGAAGAGAGCACTTGTCACAAATCCAAAAAACATATATCTTTCAAAGCATGATTGTAAACTAACAACTGCCCTACAATTATACAACTTTATAAACAAGACAAAACCTAACTGCTTGCTGTGTATGCTGTCTATGCACTTTATATCATATTACAGTTCAGTGCTTAAAACGCAACTTGAGATCTTTAGCAAGTGTGCACAGTTCAAATCAGAACATCTTTAAAATTCTTGTTTTGTTTTCAAAAATGGTATTAAATTTCACGCGCTAAATTTTGCACAATCTTTTGTTTGTGTGTATTAAATTGAAAATTGAGAAAATTTAATACCAGTAAGAATAGGGTAACAATACAGTACACGTAAGATCTGTCAGTAACAATTCACACATCAGCGTAGATGTATGGTAAATGCTCAAATTTTTAATTTTCCACTTTTGATAAATGTCAATACACCCAAACCCTGCTTGATGGACACCCGCTTGTTACTGCCAGTTTCCTTTTCCCTGGCCACCAGATTAAAACTAACTCCAGTTTGTTAAAGAAAACAGATAGTCGTTTACCTTCATCAATGAATATGAACTCTCAAGATGAAAATTTGATCATCGACCGGCAGCTCTCCTCATTTGGTGAGGATGTCAGTAAGCCGTCAAAAAACTTGCCTGACCCAATTACAAAAATAACTGACTGCATAAACTAGTAAACTAGAGATTTCCTTTAAGAAGTAATGTAATTCAGCACTTTTTAAATATTTTCATGACAGATAAAGCTTGTTTGCAAATGCTGAAACAACTTGAACCAAGATCTCCATGTTATGAAAAAGGGACTAACATATTGCCGAGACAACTGTCAAGTGACCAACAGTTGACTGACAAATCACTGACTGTCAGCCAACTGTCAGTCAACACTTTTGTATTGAAAATGGGAAAACTGTCAGCTGACTGTGATAGATGTATATGAAATATACCATATAAGAACTGCAGAAATGAAAATCAAATGAAGAATGATCCTTACAGTTAACTAGAGACTTCTTTTCATACCTGTAAGTAACGTAATCTACTGCTTTTGAAATATTTTCACGATAGATTTGTTTGCAAATGCTGTCAAACTTATTATATTCTGAAGTAGATCTAGAGAGATGTAGATCTTTCAGCAGATATAGAAAGATGTCAAAGATATCCAGATTGTTCGTGCAATGAGCCGCTTATCCATTACTGGGCCTTACAGGAGGGCTGTGAGTTCTTAAGTGACAAGCTTTAAATTCCTATGTTACAATCCCTCGCAAAAGCTGTATAGCCTACTCCCTTCTTAGGGACTTGTCAGAAATTAGCAGGGGGGGAGGGGGGGTAGAAACAGAGGGAGGGTCACAACTTTTTGAGACTGCAGAAAAGGGAGGGGTTATGAAAAATGGGCCGTTAAAAGGGGGAGGGTCATGCAAATATGTGTCCGTGATCATGTAGAGGTTCACCCACAAAAGAAAAAAAAAGTTCTTTATTTTGTAAAAAAAACCTGGGAGAAATAGGAGAGTCGAGTGATCAGCTGTCAGAATCAGAGTCGGACTGTTATAAATGCTGTTATCTAAAATGTATGTATATGGCATTACAAAGAACAGATTAGAAATATATTTTGAGCTTGCATAATACTGACTCACCCTAATGTATTGCAACAACTACATTTTATCATTTATACAAGAGGGGGAGGGTCATGATATTTTAGGCCAAGGTCAAGGGGAGGGTTAGCAAATTTCACTCCCATTGCAGCGATGGGTCACCTCATTTCCAAACCCAAATTTAAAATTCCCACCCCCCCTCCCCCCCTCCCCCCTGCTAATTTCTGACAAGTCCCTAAAGAACAAGTGCAAAGTTAACTAAGGAGTACAGAATTTATTTGATTAAACCCCACAGCATTAATTAAATTTTTCATTATTCGAGCACGGCGTTTATTTGAGGGTGGTGTCTATAAGAGGGTGGCGTTTATTTAAAATCCAATTTATTTCTTGCAAACAATAGTATGGTAACTGAACAGTTGAATTTCACTTTGAACTGAAAAACATTGTCGGTTATCTTGGCTTTTTTTTATTATACTTCAAACATGACAGTAGCCAACTCGAAAGCCCCGGCTCCTTTGGCCACTCTGCACATCCTCTCTAGATTTTCTTGAATAGCACATTTCTGTACAAAAATTATATATTCTGTATGCAAAAGATTAATTCATCAAAACAGTGCAAATAAAGTTGAAGAAGTTGAAAAAGTTAAATGAAAACAATCATATACTGTTGGGAAGCATCACCTTCGGGTTCATGTTTGTCTAAATCATGAACTAGGACTAGGGACTTAGGCAGCCTTTTGCACAGCTGGCAACTTTAGAACCAGTGTTAGGTTTCATGTCTATTTGTTTTCACATATGTCAAGTAAAATAACTTGAGGCTAGTAAATTGTAAATCTACAGCATGAGTGTAAAAGCACTATATATGCAGTCGTATATATAGATTGGTAGGGGAACTCAAGGTAGAGTTCTCATATGCACTCAAGGCGAGTACTTTAGAGCATACTTGTGGCAGTTGGATCAGCTTAGCAAACCTTTTCCTCCCACCCGCCCCATCTTTTTTGTTATGTTTTATGACAGCCCTTGTATTTTGTTTAATAGTATCGTAGTGTCTTGTCTAGTTTTACCTTTGGAGTGTTAGTTTTCTTTTCTACTTTGATGTTGTATCAGATAACACCTAAACGTTTTTACAAATATTAATAAAGGCCGTTGCAATGTTACGTGTTGGTTGTATGGCGTAGCTCTTACTTTGACTATATTCCTTTGAGCTTCGAATGTACTGATCTTAAACCATTGTTACAATCAAAGAGAATAAATTTTTTAGGCTGCTCAAACTTGATCATTATTGCATTTTGTTTTCGAGTCTATTATTGTTATAAACGGTGCATCATGACGCGCCATTTATTCAAGGGTGGTGTTTATTAACATTTTCTGCTCTCAAATGCAGCGTCGGCATTTAATGGAATACCGTAAATACAAAAAGCGCAATTTTACTTCTACCCCCACACCATCCATACATGCAATAGTTTTATCCATTACAATGTCAATAAGGCAATGATGTGAATAGTCTCATATTGCATATTTTTATTTTTTACATTTTAAATTCATGATTTCTAGATTTTAAGCTTCCAACTCAAATCATGTTATGTTATCCAGGCCATCACTGCAATTATTGTTATCATAATCTATCTATCTATCAGAAAACAATCTGAAGTCACTGAAAACCATTTTTAACAATGAGTTACAAAAAGTTTGCAATATTGTTAAGGTGGCTGAACACAGTTTTGCAGCAGTCAGCAGTAACTCGCATGACAGCGCATGTTTTAAATAAGACAAACAAACATGGCAGCGAAAAAAGCAATGGTACAGAGACAACGATTTCTCAAAAGCTACTCATTAAAATTTTGTGATATTTGGCAGAATTTTTGCTTTTATCGTTTTTTAAATGATGAGAACTTTAAAATGGAAGTTGAACAGACAACTTTTGTGACACATTTAATAATAATAAATGAAAATATGATATGTGTGGAGAGAAAAACACAGAAAAAAATTCTGAGTTCCAGATGGAATTTGAACCCACGACCTTCCATACACTAGTCGCATGCTCTAATCACTGAGCTACTGAGAACTCAGTGGTGAGTAGGTCAATAAATTATTGCACGCTGACATAACTACCGCATCGCGCAGTCACATTATGTCAAGTCAACACACAATATTAACTGTATCGTGCAGTCACATAAATAGTGTATGAGCAATGAATAATAAATGACATGATATGTGTGGAAAGAAGAACACAGAAAGAAATTCTGAGTTGGAAATGATTACAGTACAATTTTACTATTGATTACCTAAAAACCCGTCTGTTAAAATTATTTTGGTCAAATAAGTTTCAAATGGGAATGATTTATTATAGTAAGCTGTATTTATTATAGTAAGCTGTATGTAAGTTTATAGGAAAATCTAATGAGCGAATTTTATGTAAACTGAGCAAAAGTAAAAATTTTAAGATTGTATTCAGTCGTTCATGCTGTCATGGAAACTACAGAAAGCTCAAATTTCACCTGTCAGTCTTTCATCAGTATATTTTTGAACAGTTTATAACTTTCAGCTTGTGAGCTGCAACTTTCTCTTGCCATGATTTGGCAAAAGAAGTATAATCACAAACTTCCAAAACTGTGTTCAGCTACCTTAAACAAAACTTCAGCGAGAAAACAGCCAAGAAGCCAAAAAATACAAACTGAGTAATAGAGGTATATTACCAATCCATACATTACCTTCTGCCGTGTTTCCAGTGTTGATGTCAAATGACCAATAGAGGTCAACTCCCGCTCAACAAATACTTGAACACTCTCAAAGATCTTGTCCCATGTGATGGATTTTTTTCTTTTTAAAACTGAATTCTCATCAATAATTTTTAATACCGCAGGTGAGCTCAAATAATTGAGAATCTTGGTTGCAGCATCCTGAATCAATTAAAAAAGCACATGAATTTAATTACTGATTGTGATAAAAAAAAGCAATGCTTACAATGCAGGGCTCGAAATTGCAACTGATACAGTTCCCAATGCGACTAACATTTTCTCCTTGGCAACTAAAACTTCTGGTTTAATGGCCACTTTGGTGAACAGATTTTTCTATGATTTAGATTTAAATTAAAAGAGTAAAGATAAAACGAACATTTCATCTTATCTTGCTTTGCTTCCATCATAAAAAATGTGCCAAATCACATAAACAAAGCCACTTTACCTCCGAATTTATACCAACTTCTGACTGCGGTATTTTCAAACAATCAAATCTAATATGTCACACAGAAGTCAAATTTCACCGGATTTTCAGAGACAGATTCGCGGAAATTTTCAGGGCTAACTTCACTGCAAAACAATTGGTAAAAACTGGCCAATTTCGTGGGAATTTTAAGGGCAAATTTCAATAAAAATCTATCTGTTTTGCACTGATTGGACAAGCGCGTTTAATGTTTTGAAGAGAAGTAATCATTTGCTATTGAAACAACAAGGCACTCAAGAAATGAGCCAATGGCAAATCTGTTATCATCATGACTATTGCCCATTTCTCACAGCATAATTATTTATGCCTGGTAGTTTTGGGACGTTGTTCGCTCGTTGTTGTGATGAAGTTTCAAAGTAAATTTGCAAGTTTACAGCAATTAAACAGCCCAATAGCCGAGATAAGTTTCAAATATGTTGTATCATAAGTATTTGATAACATTTCTAGTGACTTTTGCAGTATTTTGCATGTTTTTGCGAATTTCTCAGCTCCACGACCATGCTAAATATCAGAAGCCCTAATACTATGATCTGCGTCATTCACATCATACAAACTAGCAACTAAAAATTTGCATCTGGCGACTATATTTCTCCAGTTGTTCACCAAAAGGCGACCTGAGGATTTTTTAATTTCGAGCCCTGTAAAGCCGGTCTTTCAGTTGTTCAAAGGGCTATTAGTGTTTAACCCGGGTTAAATTTAACCTGGATTTCTTTTTCTTTTGTTCAAAACCCTTTTCTTGGATAATTTTCTCTGTTAGTTTTAACAGCATCCAAACATTGACTTGTCGACAAAAGGAATTAAACTGAATGTACTTTTTTAAGTCTTCATATCTGAATTCAAATTCCACGTACTTTAGCCACAAGTTATCTTAATCCAGCTTTGAACAACCTGGCCCTGTAGATGAGCCTTTGACTTTATTTACTTTTTTTTGTCATAAAGAAGTCTTATCAAGCTATTTAAATACCATCTCCAAATATTGAAAGAGCATAACAATTATTTCCCTTATCTGTGAAAATTTAATCCTGATCCTCAACGAAATAAGCTGGATTATAATGTGCATAATTCCGGAAACTTTTAATTTGAGATGGCACTCTCTTCCAGTTAAGACTATGGATACAGTAAAACAATTTGTGGTCACTGAGGAGGGAGGTTATTACTCCAGTGTCTCAAATATTTTGTGGAAAGCTTCCAGCAATCAAGTCTATTAAGAATATTACGAGTCCTTGTAGATTCTTGCTGGACAGGTAATAAACTGTTTGTGATCTTCGGTCGCCAAAAAAAAAACAGAAGATAAAAAAAAACAGCAATTAAAATCACTGAGTGAGAAGAATCAACTCTTTACCCTGTGAAACAGCAGTGCCCAGCATTATTATTGAGTTTAACCATGAAATCTCTGTCATAATCATTCTGAAGAACAATCAGGACTGCAGAAGGTGCCCATGAGAAAACCACGTGATTTGAAAAGGAAACCCATTCTCACATCAAATTTTACCATAACTGAGCTATTTCTAGTGTGCTGATTGGTTGACAGCTATGTTTGGTAAGAGTACAGTCCATGGAAATGATGTCTCGCATTCATGTTTCCTGAGAAACTTCCCCTAAATGGGTGCGAAACCTGTCAATGTTGTGGCAAAAAACAAATTTTGCAACAATTTTCCACGGTCTGTACTTCTTATCGACATCAAAATGTTCAAAAATTTGCAGTAAAACCACTTGCCATTCCACTTGAATTTTGAACATGTTGACATCATTTCTATGGTCAATAAGGGTACTTACCATGGAAAATTTTTGTAAAGAGGGTGGCGTTTATTTAAAATCCAATTTATTTCTTGCAAACAATAGTATGGTAACTGAACAGTTGAATTTCACTTTGAACTGAAAAACATTGTCGGTTATCTTGGCTTTTTTTTATTATACTTCAAACATGACAGTAGCCAACTCGAAAGCCCCGGCTCCTTTGGCCACTCTGCACATCCTCTCTAGATTTTCTTGAATAGCACATTTCTGTACAAAAATTATATATTCTGTATGCAAAAGATTAATTCATCAAAACAGTGCAAATAAAGTTGAAGAAGTTGAAAAAGTTAAATGAAAACAATCATATACTGTTGGGAAGCATCACCTTCGGGTTCATGTTTGTCTAAATCATGAACTAGGACTAGGGACTTAGGCAGCCTTTTGCACAGCTGGCAACTTTAGAACCAGTGTTAGGTTTCATGTCTATTTGTTTTCACATATGTCAAGTAAAATAACTTGAGGCTAGTAAATTGTAAATCTACAGCATGAGTGTAAAAGCACTATATATGCAGTCGTATATATAGATTGGTAGGGGAACTCAAGGTAGAGTTCTCATATGCACTCAAGGCGAGTACTTTAGAGCATACTTGTGGCAGTTGGATCAGCTTAGCAAACCTTTTCCTCCCACCCGCCCCATCTTTTTTGTTATGTTTTATGACAGCCCTTGTATTTTGTTTAATAGTATCGTAGTGTCTTGTCTAGTTTTACCTTTGGAGTGTTAGTTTTCTTTTCTACTTTGATGTTGTATCAGATAACACCTAAACGTTTTTACAAATATTAATAAAGGCCGTTGCAATGTTACGTGTTGGTTGTATGGCGTAGCTCTTACTTTGACTATATTCCTTTGAGCTTCGAATGTACTGATCTTAAACCATTGTTACAATCAAAGAGAATAAATTTTTTAGGCTGCTCAAACTTGATCATTATTGCATTTTGTTTTCGAGTCTATTATTGTTATAAACGGTGCATCATGACGCGCCATTTATTCAAGGGTGGTGTTTATTAACATTTTCTGCTCTCAAATGCAGCGTCGGCATTTAATGGAATACCGTAAATACAAAAAGCGCAATTTTACTTCTACCCCCACACCATCCATACATGCAATAGTTTTATCCATTACAATGTCAATAAGGCAATGATGTGAATAGTCTCATATTGCATATTTTTATTTTTTACATTTTAAATTCATGATTTCTAGATTTTAAGCTTCCAACTCAAATCATGTTATGTTATCCAGGCCATCACTGCAATTATTGTTATCATAATCTATCTATCTATCAGAAAACAATCTGAAGTCACTGAAAACCATTTTTAACAATGAGTTACAAAAAGTTTGCAATATTGTTAAGGTGGCTGAACACAGTTTTGCAGCAGTCAGCAGTAACTCGCATGACAGCGCATGTTTTAAATAAGACAAACAAACATGGCAGCGAAAAAAGCAATGGTACAGAGACAACGATTTCTCAAAAGCTACTCATTAAAATTTTGTGATATTTGGCAGAATTTTTGCTTTTATCGTTTTTTAAATGATGAGAACTTTAAAATGGAAGTTGAACAGACAACTTTTGTGACACATTTAATAATAATAAATGAAAATATGATATGTGTGGAGAGAAAAACACAGAAAAAAATTCTGAGTTCCAGATGGAATTTGAACCCACGACCTTCCATACACTAGTCGCATGCTCTAATCACTGAGCTACTGAGAACTCAGTGGTGAGTAGGTCAATAAATTATTGCACGCTGACATAACTACCGCATCGCGCAGTCACATTATGTCAAGTCAACACACAATATTAACTGTATCGTGCAGTCACATAAATAGTGTATGAGCAATGAATAATAAATGACATGATATGTGTGGAAAGAAGAACACAGAAAGAAATTCTGAGTTGGAAATGATTACAGTACAATTTTACTATTGATTACCTAAAAACCCGTCTGTTAAAATTATTTTGGTCAAATAAGTTTCAAATGGGAATGATTTATTATAGTAAGCTGTATTTATTATAGTAAGCTGTATGTAAGTTTATAGGAAAATCTAATGAGCGAATTTTATGTAAACTGAGCAAAAGTAAAAATTTTAAGATTGTATTCAGTCGTTCATGCTGTCATGGAAACTACAGAAAGCTCAAATTTCACCTGTCAGTCTTTCATCAGTATATTTTTGAACAGTTTATAACTTTCAGCTTGTGAGCTGCAACTTTCTCTTGCCATGATTTGGCAAAAGAAGTATAATCACAAACTTCCAAAACTGTGTTCAGCTACCTTAAACAAAACTTCAGCGAGAAAACAGCCAAGAAGCCAAAAAATACAAACTGAGTAATAGAGGTATATTACCAATCCATACATTACCTTCTGCCGTGTTTCCAGTGTTGATGTCAAATGACCAATAGAGGTCAACTCCCGCTCAACAAATACTTGAACACTCTCAAAGATCTTGTCCCATGTGATGGATTTTTTTCTTTTTAAAACTGAATTCTCATCAATAATTTTTAATACCGCAGGTGAGCTCAAATAATTGAGAATCTTGGTTGCAGCATCCTGAATCAATTAAAAAAGCACATGAATTTAATTACTGATTGTGATAAAAAAAAGCAATGCTTACAATGCAGGGCTCGAAATTGCAACTGATACAGTTCCCAATGCGACTAACATTTTCTCCTTGGCAACTAAAACTTCTGGTTTAATGGCCACTTTGGTGAACAGATTTTTCTATGATTTAGATTTAAATTAAAAGAGTAAAGATAAAACGAACATTTCATCTTATCTTGCTTTGCTTCCATCATAAAAAATGTGCCAAATCACATAAACAAAGCCACTTTACCTCCGAATTTATACCAACTTCTGACTGCGGTATTTTCAAACAATCAAATCTAATATGTCACACAGAAGTCAAATTTCACCGGATTTTCAGAGACAGATTCGCGGAAATTTTCAGGGCTAACTTCACTGCAAAACAATTGGTAAAAACTGGCCAATTTCGTGGGAATTTTAAGGGCAAATTTCAATAAAAATCTATCTGTTTTGCACTGATTGGACAAGCGCGTTTAATGTTTTGAAGAGAAGTAATCATTTGCTATTGAAACAACAAGGCACTCAAGAAATGAGCCAATGGCAAATCTGTTATCATCATGACTATTGCCCATTTCTCACAGCATAATTATTTATGCCTGGTAGTTTTGGGACGTTGTTCGCTCGTTGTTGTGATGAAGTTTCAAAGTAAATTTGCAAGTTTACAGCAATTAAACAGCCCAATAGCCGAGATAAGTTTCAAATATGTTGTATCATAAGTATTTGATAACATTTCTAGTGACTTTTGCAGTATTTTGCATGTTTTTGCGAATTTCTCAGCTCCACGACCATGCTAAATATCAGAAGCCCTAATACTATGATCTGCGTCATTCACATCATACAAACTAGCAACTAAAAATTTGCATCTGGCGACTATATTTCTCCAGTTGTTCACCAAAAGGCGACCTGAGGATTTTTTAATTTCGAGCCCTGTAAAGCCGGTCTTTCAGTTGTTCAAAGGGCTATTAGTGTTTAACCCGGGTTAAATTTAACCTGGATTTCTTTTTCTTTTGTTCAAAACCCTTTTCTTGGATAATTTTCTCTGTTAGTTTTAACAGCATCCAAACATTGACTTGTCGACAAAAGGAATTAAACTGAATGTACTTTTTTAAGTCTTCATATCTGAATTCAAATTCCACGTACTTTAGCCACAAGTTATCTTAATCCAGCTTTGAACAACCTGGCCCTGTAGATGAGCCTTTGACTTTATTTACTTTTTTTTGTCATAAAGAAGTCTTATCAAGCTATTTAAATACCATCTCCAAATATTGAAAGAGCATAACAATTATTTCCCTTATCTGTGAAAATTTAATCCTGATCCTCAACGAAATAAGCTGGATTATAATGTGCATAATTCCGGAAACTTTTAATTTGAGATGGCACTCTCTTCCAGTTAAGACTATGGATACAGTAAAACAATTTGTGGTCACTGAGGAGGGAGGTTATTACTCCAGTGTCTCAAATATTTTGTGGAAAGCTTCCAGCAATCAAGTCTATTAAGAATATTACGAGTCCTTGTAGATTCTTGCTGGACAGGTAATAAACTGTTTGTGATCTTCGGTCGCCAAAAAAAAAACAGAAGATAAAAAAAAACAGCAATTAAAATCACTGAGTGAGAAGAATCAACTCTTTACCCTGTGAAACAGCAGTGCCCAGCATTATTATTGAGTTTAACCATGAAATCTCTGTCATAATCATTCTGAAGAACAATCAGGACTGCAGAAGGTGCCCATGAGAAAACCACGTGATTTGAAAAGGAAACCCATTCTCACATCAAATTTTACCATAACTGAGCTATTTCTAGTGTGCTGATTGGTTGACAGCTATGTTTGGTAAGAGTACAGTCCATGGAAATGATGTCTCGCATTCATGTTTCCTGAGAAACTTCCCCTAAATGGGTGCGAAACCTGTCAATGTTGTGGCAAAAAACAAATTTTGCAACAATTTTCCACGGTCTGTACTTCTTATCGACATCAAAATGTTCAAAAATTTGCAGTAAAACCACTTGCCATTCCACTTGAATTTTGAACATGTTGACATCATTTCTATGGTCAATAAGGGTACTTACCATGGAAAATTTTTGTCTATTCGTTAATTATAATCAATGTTCTCTGTTTATTAACAAGTGCATGTAATATCAAGGTTGCATGCATGCCAAACTCCAAAAGGTAACATCTTGTAGCTGCGTAGCAAGCATTTCCGCCCGAGGACGTCGAGAACATTGGGAGGAGAGCAAAAAAAAGTAACGGGGGAGGAGGAGGAGCTAAACTTCAGAATGCCCGGCCACTTCTTTGCATATCATTGAACAACAAAAGTGCCTATTGTGTTATACCTCGTTCTTTAAGCGTTTTGACAAATGTAAATGATGTGACTGGGTATCCAGAGCAGGGGAGAGAAGGAAACGCTTGCCTTTTAACCCCTCCCCCTTCCCACTTCCATTTGTTTTGCTCCCGCTCTAACTTTCGCACAATAACTCGATTGGAAACGCTTGCTACGCAGCTACGCTAACGTCACGAAAAACAGCAATGTGCGGACATTTCACCATCCACAGGGCTCTTACCTTACTTCTTAATGAGTCTACCATCCACATAATATTGCAAAGCGCAGAACACAGAAAACGTTATCTAAAAAGAACGAAAGGCGCTACCGCATATTTCAGCTGACTGCAAATACTCACTTTTCTATGGGTGACCCTCGCTGATTCCAACAGGCTGCAGAGGTAGGGAAATTCTCCTACTTTTTCCTCATGGTCTTCAAACATTGTTACCTCCAAATAAAAGAACCTGAAGTATCATTTGACATAAGCATTTTTCGTTATTATCCCCCAAACAGGCGAAAATGTGCCCGATAAATCACGCACATGACACAGAACAGACAGAAATGTAATTTGCTCCAAGGCGTCCCTGTTTTTGTCGCGCGCATCCTGTTAGCTCAGGTTACTATCCCGTGAGCCTGTGCGGTATATTTCGCGGGAAATGTTTTCTGGAACCGGAAGTTGACGAGTAGGATCCCAGATCCTACGGATCGGGAGGAAGACGAGGAGGAAATATATTCCGGCCATAAGGCGAAAAGAAAAGATGTTCAACTTTTCGAAACTTTAATTGAAGCGTAAGAGAACAATCTCCTTTGCTTGCTTGCGTGTATTTGCGTTTTGTTTCTGCCCCTGCCCTCAGTGACCTCAGTATTCCGCGGGAATAAGGGACAAAGCACAAAGTCTAAGCCAAAAATTGCCCGAAACGAACTTTTGGGAAATTGTCGTATTATTTCTTCATTAAAAGTTTTGATCATTATTTAAATATATATCACACTGTTAAATATTACGGGCGCATCAGGCGCGAGAATTCAAACGCCTGTCGCGCGGTGAGATAAGCGTTTCGATTGGCTTATTCGCGATATGAAAATGAATGCTTTGTAGCACGAGAGAGTTGCGCGCCTAGCAACTTGATCTCGTCCTTCCACGTAGGCGGTTTTTGTTATGAATTATCAGAGGTTTAAAACTGCCACGCTTCTATAACCAGATCAGCGTGGAAGAACTAATTGCAAAACGGCAGTTCAGAGCCTGTACACCTGTGGCTTATGTAAACTTGCCCTTAATTGCCATGATGATGATTTCTGAAGTGGCACCAGCAAGATATTTATTGTTATTTTGCTTCATTTACCCGCTTTTTTACTGGAAAGCCGATGCAGAAAATGTTCCGGGGAATCAAGGCGGGTTATCAGATGAAGATACTTCGCAGTTCCATGACAAAATGGCTAACGAACGAAAGTGAGTACAACGCTAAAATAGAGCTAAAAAATAATAATATTTTCTTCCAGTTGTGATTGACAAGATAATGTAAGCTGCTATGACTTGGCCATGCCTCTGAACTGTGGGTTAAATGTGGGCTTTTATTACAACATTGCTTTCGTTTTAGGTACTCTTGGCTAAATATAAGCTGAAAGTGTAACTAGATGTATTATTTCAGTGTCCGAGCGTCCTTAAATCTAGGCTGCGCGTGAATTTAAGCTTACATGTAATGTAGCGCCTCAAAGAGTTTGACTTCACTTGTTAATTCTTGTTTTTAAAGTTTGCAGTTGTATGCAATTCACGAATTCAGGATGTAATCTGCTTGTACCCCTCATGCAGATAACATCATAAATTCATCCGTCCCTAGAATACCCCATTGTAATGAAAGCACAATATTTATTCTTGGTTTTCAGAAGTGAATACCCATTTTCATTTGTAAAGAATAATTTGCTATAAAACCATACCCATGTCTGCAAAACCTTTTAATAACGTTCTATAGGTATAACTGCAGGTTTAACAATTTCAATTTGCTTGCTTGCTTTCAAGCAAAATAAAGAGTCTGATTTTCCTAAAATGCCTTTTCTGAGGCAAAATATCTGTTGCCAGGGCTCCAACTCATTCATGGAGAAATTCCCTTTGAAAATGGTATATGGATACCCCACCTGTTGCTGGAGGGAAAATAAGCGGGGTATTTTTCTGCACAGTTAAAATGAGCCCCTGAAAGTGGCAATTTTTCAGCTTCCAGGCGAAGAGAAATTGGCTACCTACTACAAACTGTAGGTTAAGTGATATATTTAAAAAAAATCGTACAAGTTTAGGCCTTTAATTCTGCCTGTTACACTGTATTGGCCATTGCAGAAATCACCATAATATTTTTCAAACTGCTGTTTGACTAGCACTTCATGTAGACCTCACTTTTGCATTATCTCTTTCATTTTTTACAAACTACACACACTATAGCTGATTTCCAAGAATACTATAGTGCACGTAGATCTACAAGGTACATGTTTAAAGCACAGGGTACAACTTTGCCTGAGCATAATTATTCTGGCTTTTCCCTGTAGAACAGCAGAATGGAAATCAGAATAGAATTAGCAGTAGGGGGCTTGCACCACAGTGTTGACCATCAAAATCCTGAACACAAAAGATGCAGGTATTAATAAAAATACACTTTAGCATGCGTGTGCATACAGTCAAGCTGATGTACTGCACATGCAAATCATGCAAAGAGATAATGCAATAGTCAGGTTTACCTGGAGCACTAGCCAATGGGAAGTTTCAAAACTATTATCAATGGTATTTTCTACAGTGGCCATTCTGGTTATCTTGCCATTTTACAGCAAAACATTTTGACTTGGTTGATATTTTGCTGGTCTTAATTAAGTCTGTAGCTGCTGCTCTTCTAGCCCCAATCCATGAAAAATTAGGACTAGAAGACAAAGAAAATTGAGAATCAACCTACACTGTAAGTTAAAAAATTTTAACCTGAATTTCATTATGACCTGTAACATATGCACTACATACTCTCTACATGTGCTACATGGTTGTTCATGTACATATGGCTACTTTGAGAATGTTGGTTTATATTTTAGTCAAGCAGTGCACAGACCTCTGGCCAAGCTTGATAAATATTATCTAAGCCTGCCTTCCATTTGTTTTTTCAGACATCTTCTTGCTCACTTGGCAGATAGAATGGACTTAGATGGAGAAGGGCTGAGGTAAGGTTTTGTTTTGTTTTCAATTATTTATTTACTGATCCCTCAAGGCTCATGCCCTTACTGCACATCCGAACAATGAAGTTCAAAAGCTCCGTTCCTAATTTTGTTTTTCGCTGCTGTCAATCATAATTATGAACAAACCTTATAACACAGAAACACACAAAACAGACAGAAATCCACCAATCACAAATCACAAACCATGGCCTTTTGAACTCATTGAAGTAAACTTCTGTTTCCTGAGAGGTCCGCTAAGATGATTGATGGCAGCAAAGAATGCAAAAGTGAGTTGGCTTTTGAACTTCAGAATTCGCATGTTTTTGAAAAGCACAGTAAACTCACGAATAATAGAACATTCAAAGAACAAGTGCATACTTAAAATTGTCTGTTACATTTTAAGGACCCCTTATGATATGGATCACTGTGATTGAACTCAAAATAATTGTTATAATTATGTACTATTACAAAGAATGTTTATTGTGTACAGCTCTACAGCAGGAAACTTTTAAGCCTGCTGGTGTTGTATTTATTTATTATTACGCTTTCTACTCTTAGATAATCTAGAAGATTTGAAGACAACTGTTTTAATACCTTTGTTTTGTTTTCTTTCCTTTTGTTTTCTTCCATAATTGGTTTCACAATGTGCAACTATGTGAGCTTCTTTGTTTGAATTCATAGTAACTACCAGTACAACAATATGTATATTGTGACATGACAATAGTACCATGAAATGCATCTTAGTCTTATTTCACAAAAATTTGGAAGTTTGTATTTCGGAGGATCAGGAGAATTGTAGTTGCAATGTAGGTAAAGTTAAAGGTTCTCAAGATGACAACTGCGAACAAGTTACAGTATTAGGTTTAAGGTTTAGTAATCCTTTACCATCCATTTCAGGAGTCTGAGTTTTTTAAGCATCCAAGTTTTAGAGACATGCACCCAGGGCCCTGAGATTTTCAGAATTCTAAGGTCTTTTTGTATTTTACAGACATATCCAGAGACATTTTGGCCAACAAGCAGGAGACGCTAAACAAGACCTAAAGGATGTTGCTAATGGTGACAATACCAAAGGTGGTGTACTCGATGAAACAAATGATAAATGCTCACAATAAGTTCTTGCAGCAATAAAAACACAACTTTTAATGTTATTGAACAGGCAACACTCAACTCCATTCACTCCAGGGGACCAGCAGAAGTCCACATCTGACGTAAAACTTTTAAAAGAATGTAGACTACATGACTGTAGTATTAATGTTAAAATTTTACCTTGCCATTACATTATAATGGAGTGCTAAGAATGCTAGAAAAACCCAAATGTCTTTGATGCTAGGAAACATTTTTCCTTTAAAATATAAAATGTGAAAATCAAATGTACCTAACCCAGATGCCAAGGTATAAATATATCTCTTGATTGTGAAATTTTAATCCTATTGGCCCCTTTGGGTTGTTTATACTGTCTTGTTCTCTTTTTTTAGCCTGCAGATCAGGCCCTTCTTGCACATCTGCTTCACACCAGCCTTTGTTCACCTGAAAAATGTGAACCTTAATAATGCCTGTTGTGCAATTTATGTTTTTTTTTCTCATGCTGTGATGTAGAGGAGAGAGACTGAAGAGGCCTACATTATAAGGCAAAACAATCAGGCAGATTTCCATGTTAATATTTTTATTTTCTTAACAGGTATATTTTATTTCTTCAAGTTCCATGATTATGATGATAACCAGAAGCTTGATGGCTTAGAATGGATGCAGGCCCTAACAGATTTTCATGAAGAGGATGACAACAAGGATGAGTTCAAAGAAGGGGGGAAAATGTTCCTTGAACATGAAGCTGAGGCAATTGTGGATGAACTTTTAAGTAAACATGACAAAAATGATGATGGCATGATTGACTTTATTGAGCTGATGAACCAGAATGTGAATTCATTTATGACAGAGTTGGACAAACCTGCTCCAGAGGATGCAGGACCTGAGAATAATGAACAACAGCAGCAAAATGAGGAGACACAGTCATCACTCGAGCAGGAATTCAATAAACTTCAACAGGCTCAACAAGGTCAAAATCAAGGACAACAGGAAGACCAACAGCAACAGCCACACCAAGAACAAAAGCATGATCAGGACAACCAAGAAAAGGAGCAACAAACACAGGAAGATCAACAGCAAAAGGAAAATAATCAACAAGAATCACTTTCAGAAGAAACACAAGGTGAACAGGAGGTAAACCAAGAGCAACAAGAGAATGAACCGAAAAATGAGCCGAGCTCTTTAGAAGAAGAATACAATCGTCAACAAGAACAATCGTAATGAATTAAATTAAAGTTATGAATGAATTTTTATTATAGGCTCTTATTTTACTACAAAGTTTTATCTTGTCAACATGGTTTAGGAAGATTCAATGGGAATATGATACAGTTATATTATTTCTTAACTTGCCTATTTCTGGAGTGTTTTATTGCAGAAAAAGCTTCTATTTACACAGTACCACTATGCTTTGTCATGAAAGAGGAGACCAGATACCACATTAATATTTTTGGAAATGTGAAAAATATGATATAAAATATATATTTCAGCCTGGAATAAGTGTAGATTTCAATTTTGGAATAGCCAGTAGTCTTTCAAACTTAAAAACATTTGAGTTCCTTAGTCTTTGAAGCAGTTTTTAATTTTTCAATTGCATAGTTTTTAAAGCCAACTGAGAGTCATCTATGAAATTCCAAAGGAAATATTGAGTCTCGCCATCTTGCAAATTCTGTCTTCCACTTTTTGTGTCCTAGGTACAGTTCACTATAAGAAATCTTTACTCTTTAATTACTGTAAGTATATTGGGAGTAACTTTGTACAGTATTTTGCTTGCAAATTTTAGCTGAATCTTGTGCTTACATGAAGCAGTTACAAGGTGCACCTGATCGATTTTTCATGATTTTATAAAATTTTCTTTTTCGCAAATTACTATCTTTATCAAATAAAAGGGATAGTATTGGTAATCTGTGAAGCTAGTGAGTGTATAACACAATTTTAATTCAGTCACTCTCTCTTTGATTGAAGTCACAAACACAGCTACAATTCCTTACAGTATCTTGGTGTTGACTGGAATGCTTTATGTATCTTCACAAAGTTCTAACTTATGATCGGGGCCAAATTTAACAAAAGCTCTTATAATGTATATCTGCCCACATTTTTCTCAGCTCTCCTCTGACTTTTACAGACAGTCGAAATATACATATTCCCCTTTCCAGAAATTATAAGGGAAATGGGTACAGGCTTTCGGTGCAACGATTTCTTGGATCATTTGGGTAGACAAGTGTTACTGTGATTGGTTAGTTGTTGCAACCTTTAACCGCCCTGGTTGCGACCAGTCATGACTAAGGCCCGGTTCAGACACCGAACTTTTCATGAGCCGAACCTTATTCGAATTAAGGCCGACCCAAAATATTTAGACCGGCTGAACTGATTCAGACGCCGATCTTAATTGCAGCTGAACTAATTTCAAAAGGCGAAAAATGCTCATTAAGGTCAAGCTGCTTGCAAAATGCGTTTTTTATAATAATTTATGCATTAGGTTCGGTACATGAAAAGTTCGGCGTCTGAATCAAAGCCGTTCCAAAGTCGCTACAAAGGCGAAATTCCTGGCCGGGCTAGGCGAAAAGGACGGCTGCGCCATTCCAAATTGAAACGGGCGTTCCTAATTCATTCAGACGCCGAACTTTTTATGTACTTAATTCAACGTATTAGGTTTGGCTCATGAAAAGTTCGGCGTCTGAACTGGACCTACCCCTTGTCCACCCAAACAATTCCAGAAATCAGTGCCCTTTAAGTTTGTTCTCATTTTCCCTAGAGTTTCTAGTGGATGACTTAGAATGTCAGTCTGCCTCTCCCCTCCTCCTCCTCTTCCCCCCAAAACACACGCCACCTTCTCTTGCGTTTTTAGGGTCATTTTCAGGTCGGAACGCTGATAGGTGCTTTGTTCCCTGTCAAGAAACTGATATTACATACATCTTTGATTGCTACTGGCAATAGAGGGGGGGAGCATTATTTGTAGAGAGAGAGAGGTTCTATTTCAATCAGGTTTCATTTGTTAGTTCTTTGTTCAGAACGTGGATAGCGCTTTTCACCATGTGCTAGGCTTCTATCCGCTAGTTACCGCAGTTCGTCATGCTGACGCGTACCTACTGAGCCGATGCAAATGTTAAAGAAAACGGCAGGAAAAAATGCCTCTGTAGGTGCTTTGTTACATTATGGCACATTTTGATACCGTTCTCTGCGGGAGCAACGCCAGAAAAACACTGACTAAAACATTCAATTCAAAGTTTTGTAAACATGACAACGTACAAAGAGTCTGAGATAGTGATCTGGAGGCATCTCGCGTATAAGGCTTTTTTTGTGAAGTTAATATAACGTGACTGCTGATATTTATTTTCGGAGCAAATTTTGACTAAAAGCCTCAGTGGCATAATATACGGAAAGGGAGAACAGACAAGTTCTCTATCCCAGGTCCCAATCACGCACGTAATCCGGGACATGAAAGATGAATAAATTACATACCAAGCGCGACTGAAGCGCGAATTTTCAAAACAGTTTGTTGAAGGGTCTTACAAGTATTTTCTCCCTGA